GGCCATGTGTGAACCTTTGAGTGTCGGTGTTCATGCGTGTCGTCGTGCAAGCATTGGTCCTGAGACAAGAGTGTTGGTAATGGGAGCAGGGCCTATAGGTCTTGTCACCATGCTTGCAGCTCGTGCTTTTGGTGCCCCAAAAATCATTCTTGCAGACGTGGATCAGGCCCGCCTATCTGTTGCACGGGAGCTCGGAGCAGACGAGGTCATCAAGGTCTCAACAAATATTCAGGTATCTCGCGCCCTTCAATTAATTTGCTGCTCACTTTTTAACCAAGCATGCTTTTTTATTGCATTACCAATCGTGTTAGCATTTAATACCAAAAAACACTATGGAACCAATATACAATGCAAAATTGCCACAGGGTTATAATCCTATTTTGGGGGTAACTCCTATTTTGATACTTTCTTTATCTTTTACTCCTATTAGGGTAGATTTCTTTTTCTTTTTTGTTAAGATTCATGAATCCTATTTTTTAATCAGTAATGTGATTGAGGTCGGTGTTTCTACTGATATTCTTAGTTGGGTGATTATCCAATTGCTACCTCTTAGTTCGATAGTGTAAAAATCAATTCTACTATGTTTGATGGCGTTACTTTATGTAAGAGTATATTCTAAGCTGTTGGCATGGGTTTGATCACTTTATTAGGATGTGGCTGCTGAAATTGAAAAGATCAAAGAAGCCACCGGGGCTGGAATCGATGTGAGCTTTGACTGTGCAGGCTTTGATAAAACGATGACCACCGCACTTGGTGCAACTCGTTCTGGTGGCAAAGTCTGTCTTATTGGTATGGGTCATGAACACATGACAATCCCTCTCGCAGCAACTGCTGCTAGGTCGGTAAACAAATTGGGTTTTCACTTTGTTCTTTGTAATTTGACACAAAACGCTTTTGCGTGTAGTTCCGATTCCTTCCTTTGTTTCTCTTCTTCATAAAATATATTATTAAATATGCATCCATGCCGAAGGAGCTAAAAGAGTCATTTTTTTACAATGTTTTAGCTTCAAGTAAATAATGGACCAAGTGAAAACAGAACCATGCTTGGCTTCTTACATTCTATGATGTTTTGGTATGATATAAAGTAATGCATCATGGGTCTAGCGGGAAATACCCCTCTCTCTTTTAGAAGAGTTAGATTGCGTACTTCTTGACCCCACAAACCCCAACGGAGTTCGGATTGTACTGGGTTTAATTTGTTGTCGTTAATTATTGTTGTATATGCTCTAAAATGATGAATGATGTTCAGGGAAGTTGATGTGATTGGCGTATTCCGCTACAAGAACACATGGCCTCTTTGTATAGAGTTGATGAGGAGTGGAAAAATCGATGTGAAACCTCTCATTACGCACAGATTCGGGTTCTCGCAAAGGGAAGTTGAAGAAGCATTCGAAGCCAGTGCTCGCGGTGGCAACGCTATCAAGGTCATGTTTAATCTGTAATGTTTATGATTTTGCCTGTTTCATAATAAGATACGAAGTGCTGTGATGATGCAACTACTACTGTTATGCAATTTGCTTATGTTTACTCAAAATGCATTTGAAGTAAGCTCTGTATTCATTTGGAGTGCATACAATATTGTCTGTAAGATTAAATAAAGCTCTGCATGTATTTTGTCATTGGAATACAAAATTTTCAATTCATTGTGATTGGGGTTAAAAAAAGGGTTCACTAAATACCCTCCCGTCCCGAATTGAATTGCTCGTTGAGCTGACAACACTTGATCAATTTTATTTTTAATTTAGGGTTCATTCAGAAAGGGGGAAATGACGTGTGGAAGTTATTTTCCCTATTTTCTAGTACTCCCTCCGTCCCAAAAAGAATGGGACGGTTTGACTTTTTGGGAAATTAAGGGAGGGATATTTTGGTATTGACTTTCCAAAAATACCCTTGATGTGATGGGTAAAAGTAAGATGTGATGAGTAGATTATTAGGAAAAAGGTATGATGTGATAGGTAGGGTATGAAAAAGTAAGGGGTAAAAGTGGTTTTTTAATAGAAATGTAATGGACTTTATGGGACGCAGTTTTTTCTAAACGTAACAAACTTTTTGGGACGGAGGGAGTATTTGGCAAGATAGGACAATACGGTCAAAAGAAAATGAACTCGTGGTAAAATGGAATATCAAGCCTTATTCTTGGAATTTTACTTTCGGATTAATTTTCAAGCCATATTCTCTGCCATCGCCGTCAGAGATGAGGTGCTCCCATCCGCTTCATTGGCTGATTCCGGCAATTGAAGCAGCCTTTGGGTTGCATACATAGATTGTGGGTGGGCTTGAAGACCCATGCACATCCCACATGAAGACCCACGGCGTATTTCACATGCAAAATTCCTCACAATGCATCAATGTATTCATGCATGCACCTACTTCCTCATGATTCTTTTCCCTTTTTTTTCCAATAATTTAACACAAAATATCTCAATAAACTCCACCATGGTTAAATTAAATAATTAAAACTTGGCCGGGTTCCACTTCGCTCATTCCGGCGAGGTCACCGCCTCCACCAACCGGAGTAGTTTTAAATGTTACTCGCTTCTTCCATGTAATTGTTCCGCTTGTCCTACTTCCTCGTGATTCTTTTCCTTTTTTGTTTCAAGAATTTTACAATTTTCAAATTCAACGTTCATCCCTACGCAGAATTTTTTGAAGTGAAGTGAAGATTCCGAACACTTATTTTCTTAATAAGTCGTATGAACATTTGTAAGGATGACAAATATTTTTCACTTAAAAAGATTAATTTTGAGAGTTAAACTATTATTTTTAGAGTCAGTTGAAAAATAAAAGTTTCTCCGTCTAAAAATATTTTATTGGGTCAGTTACAAAATGTGTATCAAAATTTTTTTAAAATATCTTTTTAAGATATACATTTCTTTTGTGGTTAAGAAAAAATATCTTTTAAATATTTTTCGTGTATATCGTTTGACACAAAATATTTTTGAGACCCAAAATTCCTTTTATTTATTCAAAACTTAATTTTGAATAATGTTTGAATTGATGGGGAGCCTTGCCCCTGATTCTTTTGTTGGAAACAAACCAAAAAGGCCAAAATCCATTTCATCTCGCACACATGTCTATGGTCTACATGTTTGGGTATTATTTGTCAATGGATCGATCACTAATACAAAATAATCAATTCAACTAATACAAAATAAATCTTATTTAAACTAAATAAATGATTTATAAATTTAATGTTTTGTAAAACAATTACGGAGTAAAATTTAAGGTTTTGACAAAACTGAATATGGAGTAATTAATAAAAAGTGAAAGATTAGCATGGATCAAACTCCGCGATAAGTTCACGGGGGGGAGGGTTGCAACGGCAGCATGCCTAGGCCGGCCTGGGGTTCGGAGCAAAGCCCCAAAAAATTTTTTTGGGAACTCGTGAAGTTAATTTAATTTCAAAAATCCAAAAGACATATAAGCAATGCTACATTCACAAATACTCACAAACTTCACAAACTTACTATTTATGGTTTAACTTTTCATTTTAAAATTATTTTAGACTATTGAATTTTATTTATTGAAGTTCACAATTAGTAAGTTTGTGAAATTTGTGACCATTTTGTTTGTGAACCAAGCATTATTCGGCAACAAATTTTTGAACATATAAATAAGCCCCGATATTGAATGTTATGGTGTTTCAGCATGTTCACTCTTTAGCTTGCTATTCATGGTAAAAATAAGTCGATAAATAAGTAAAATATACTCCTTCCGTCCCATAAAGTGTTACCCATTTTGATTAAAGTAGAAATTAAGGGAGGGATAATTTTGTGTTGGCTTTCCAAAAATACCTTTGATGTGATGGGTAAAAGTAAGATGTGATGTGTAGATTATTAGGAAAAAGGTATGATATGATAGGTAGGGTTTGAAAAAGTAAGGGGTAAAAGTGGTTTTTTAATAGAAAAGGGTAGGAGATTGTGGGACACAATTTTTTTGAAAGGTGTAAATCTTTTTGGGACGGAGGGAGTATATATTATGCAAAAGTGAGATATGTTACACAATTTTAAGAAACGCAATTAGATTCAAAATCAAATATCAAAACAAAATGATTATAATAATGAACATCATGATTAATTTATCAAATTTGTATTTACTGGAACTATAATCGAAAAAAATATTAATTTTAAGGATTTGGAAAAGTTGATCTCAACTTAAGGAGATTAAGAAACATTTCATTTCTCTGCATGAGTTCCGAATATGATAGAAAAATTTGGATCTTATGGATTAAAACACAAAAGTAGCTCCAACCAATTGTACCATATAATATGCATCCAAGGACCGTGTAGATCATGGGATAGACACATTACTAAAATGCACTATGAATACCTCTTTGGTAAATGAGGGAGATCTTTTCTTTCTTTACTTTTCCCGTCTATACAATATAGCCTAAATCTATAACAATCATCCTTAAAAAAGTCACCATACTCCTCCTTCTCTAATTTCATTACAATTTTCTTTTCTCTCCTCTCAATAATTTTTGTTTGTTTACGCAATTTCATTAAGTATTTAATAAAATAAAATATTCTTGTCACTTCTTGTTTTATAGAATTTGACGTAATATTTTAATATGTAATTTTTATTTCTTATCGATATACCGATTTATAAATAAAATGATTTCAAAAGTGAGATATTTCTCCTCATAAACCCTAATTTGTAATCAAATTGGGGACAGAGGGAGTATAAAATAACATTCCATTTACAAGATTTATAGAGACAATCATTAATGACACTAATGATAAAAGGAAAAAACTTCCAGAGGAGGTATGTAATTTGAGCCGGACATAGTGTGTCAGAGTGAGAGTTCAAAGTATAGAAGTGTTATAAAAGAACATCCAAAAACAAGACATGGAAAGGATGTAAACGTAAAAAGGTAAGGAAACTTGTAAGGTGAACTCGTTGTTTTATCCTTCAGTAGATTCATACTCGCGTTGCACGGTAAGTAATTTGTTTCAAAATATTAAAACGATATTTTTCATAAAATCCATATCTAAATCCAACAGTTTACAAATATTTGATTTCAAATATACTCTTTTCAATCGTAATAAAAACTCTATACCGTAAGAAACAACGATAGAGCACTGTGCATAGTACAAGTAGAGCTTTGCATCGACATTTCAATTTCCATGTATTAAAAAAAAAAAAAGGCCACAAGTCCATAACTGCAAAAACTGGGAATTTGCTTTTAACTTACAAAGCATCTATCCTTCTATTTGGTAGGTGATTTGCCTCTTCAGAACCTCATTCTCCTTCCTTAGTTTCATAATCTTTTGCTTCAGTGCGTCCACATGCCGATTCGAAGTTAAATCTTGTCTGGACTCCACAAGTTTTGTTCTGCTGGCAGTCACTGAAACCCAAACCAATAATTTCTATGAGAGAGATTACCAAAAAAAACATCTCTTATTCTCCACAACTATAGACACCATAGTTGAGTTAAAAGAGGAGGAAGTTGAGGAACGAGTATAGAGCACGATCGTTCCCTTACGGTTGGGTCACTCACATTCCTTTTCCAAATCTTGGAGCTTCTTACTTAACTCAGCTTTCTCTTCTTGCTCAACCAAGAGACAATCCTTCAGGCCCTGAATCTCATAATGATCTGCAGTATATGTTTTTAGACGAAATGAAATCAGGTTAACCGAACTAACTCAGCCCCATGAAAGCCAAGGGAAAGAGAGCAAATAAGTGTACTTGTAAGTTAAAATCCTACATCTAGACTCTACATCAGAAGTGACTTGTTCTAATCTCCTTGTCAAAGCTTCGATGTGGTTCTTATGCACAGTTAAATCTTGGTGAAGATGATTAAGAGCTGCTTCACTGACCACGTTTTCAGTCTGTAACTCTCTAGACAATGCAATCAAAATCAAGCATCAAATAATTTGGAAATTTTTTTTCATCGAATTTAAAATGACTTCACGAAACACTGTTTGAAAACATGGGGAGGGTAACTGACCTGATTTGACTTTCCAGATCTTGAATCCTCATTGTGTTCTCATGTTTGAGGGAGAAAATAGCAATCTTAAACTCCTAATTACAAGTAATTACTTTAAGATACATAAATCACTGGATACCCTTTTTTTTTTAATTTGTCCTCCGATGATACGCAATGGAGAAATGCATTGGTCTACTCCAAAGTCACGATGACCGCTTAAAATGGTGAAAATATAGGTAATGGCAGTGTTTGAGTTTACATACCCTTCAAGAAGTGGTATAGATGTGCATTAACTCACATTTTCTTTCTGGGAATGCTCATCACTTAGTTTCTTCAATTCATCCTTCAAGATCTGGCAGCTAGTTCGGCTTTCAATCTGTCGCCTCATTCAAATTATTCACAACAAAGCGGCTTCTTCAATGTGTTTACATAAATAGATTCTATAATTTACTCCCTTCGTAGTAAACATATATTCATACATAAAGTGAGCGCTCAGTGATATACAACATCTGAAAATCTGGAAACTCTATGATCGCATGTCATTAAATATATGCATATGGGGTAATAGTATATCACAAATGGGTACGAAAACCAGGGATATTAAGAAGTAACATAACCACATGCTGAACAAACAAATACTCCCTCCGTCCCATTCTAAAAGGCATAAGACGAATAACAAAGTTAAACCCCACACTTTTTAAAACCATTTTATTTAAAAATTAGTATTGAAATAAAAAATAAAACGTACATGTTTAAAAATTATATCAAAAGTTCTACAAAACAAGATATGACATGACTATTTTATTTTATCAAATGATCAATGAACACATAAAGAAACAAAAGTTATCTATGAAATTGAAATAGTGACCTGTGCCTTTTGACATGGAGGGAGGGAGTATGCTGCTACGTTTCGGATGCTATACAGAAGACTTTAGTGTGGAAATAACTTACGGAGCATATTATATATGCTGAAGTCAACATCCCCTCAATATCTGTTGTGATATTTTACATTATTCTATAGTAAATGGAGTGTCAGAGAATTCATTACCTCTCCTATTTTTCATAAGAACTCGACATCCCATCAATATTTGTTATTATATTTTATAATATTCTATAGCTTCTCTACATTCACCTTCTTTATCTAATGTAAATAAAAAAATATCCAATCGTCCATCATCCCATGAAGGATACAATATCTAGGCACGGTAAAATTTCATAATAACATCTGGCCACCATGAGCCATTCAAATTAAATGTTCGGCCCGATATCTTCAAAAAAAAACAATATTCTAGTACTCGAGGAGATAGAAGAAAATGTGGGCAACTTTGAAAATAATCACTTTGGTAATTCAAATAAATCTCATATATGCCTCTATTCATCTCCCATGTCTCCGTCCGCCATAGCTACTTCGATTGAAGCCCTATCATAGCCCTTCTCTTCCGTCTCCCTGTCCCTAACCAAACAAGGGGATGGGCTCCCTCTCCACCCCTCTTCCCATTCCCTCCCATCCATCCCCTCCCTTTCTCTTCCTCCAAACCAAATAGGCCCTAATACAACCAGCCCCAACTAGTTGGGATTGTGGTGATGATGGTGGACTAGTTGGGAGTGTTTTTACCATTCTAGAAATCCCTCTTTCATATCTATGAAACTCCATATGGGAAAACAAGATTTTAACTATATCTAGCCTAAGCAAAGATTTTTTTACTTTGACGAGCGAAAATAAATACACATCCAATACTTCGAAACAAGAAAAAAGGAAACCACAAGTGTGCAAAAAATATCCAAGGTATTTACATAAACTGGAAAGAAAGAAAAGAAAAGAAAATTCTAATCTTTAACTGTGCAAGAGAATAAGCTTAGAGTATAACTTATTAAGGAAACTTACTAACTGCACCAAAACAAGTTAGATTCTTAGCATAATTGAATTTTATAAAATTTGTAAGACTTGTTTAAAAAATTGAACCTGGTCTGCCAATTTGTTAAATGACTCAGCATAAATCTTTCTCAGCCGCTCATTTTCTGGACACACAAAAAATACAAAAAAGAAACAGAATTAAGTTTTAAAATATACGCATGAAACAAATTTTAGACAGAATTCTATAAAAAAACAAAAGGAAAAAACATGGATAACGAAGGTTAATACTGTGAAACAGATGGCACATAGAGCAGATGAGTGTTTGGTGTTAGTCTATTACAGCAAGCAATGGTGATGATTTCATTCTTTCAAAAAAAATAGAGTAGGGAACAAAAAGTATATGCAGCATTAGACATTTATAAATGGATGCAACTTCCTTTAATAATTGAGAACTACTTTTGCCAAAAAGAATATGGGAATTCAGTCTATACCACAAAATCTAAATATGCTAAGAGGCTAAGGGGATAGTTAATTTTCTTTTAGTGTGTATCAACACTATCATGCTTCTTTGTACTTAAATACGGAGTATTCAATAAGCCTTTATAATTACTACTATAAAATTATTCTTATTATTATTACGGTTCGTGTATAAGACCTTTTTTGGGCTACAACAATACCACAAGCTTGGGCTTTTGGATAAATTGGTCCTTTGACATGGTATAAAAGTCAAGCCAAGAAACCAACTCAACCAAAAGCTCAAGTTTATGGTTGTAGGCTCATAAAGGTTTTATATATATTCAACGCTTACACGTGAACACTAATTTTTTTAAAACTGGGTGGTGGTGATGTTTGAACTTTCAATCTCTAGGTCAGCAAGACCTAAGGAACCAATTGAACGAAAAGCTCAAGCTTGTGGTAGTAGGTCCATTAGAGGTTTTTATATTCTAAATATTACTACTACTGTTAATATTGAGTATTAATATTTTCATTATTTTCATAATGAAAAAGCCAAGCACGCAGAAAGTCATCAAATGGAAATTTCAACATATCGTTCCATTTTCATAACTAAATGTCAAGAAAACAATATTAAAAAATCATAAAAATTGGCACAACCGCAACATACTGAGTACCAAATACAGTACCTTTGACGACATTTAGCCTTCAGTTTTCGTATTTTTGTTGTATCCTCAACATCTCTTTATATACTCAGGAATAATGGATAGTCATAATTTATAGGATAGAATGAAATCTTACGTTTTAACAAGGTATCTTCAATATAATCAGTACACCTGAGCACTAAAATGTGAGGGGATATAATGAAACCACAGCCGTCATTTCTTGTGTAACACTTCCAGTTTTCATTGAACAATACTTATCCAACCATCAAACTTGCATTACACAAAGATCTAGAGTGAAATTTTTTATCATCATCCGCAACCATAAACCGGCACTGAATAGTCTCCTCTTATCGTCAAAAATTTCAAGAATAGTTCGTGCTTCACGGCAATGCACTTGAAAATTTTTCACACTTTTCCACTGATTGAAAAAACTATTTAAGCAACAGTTTTGAGACTAGATTCATGTTTTAACATGAAGACAATTTATAAAAGAGTACCACCCAATTTATACAAAAGATAACCCCTCAATAATGGTAACAAAGATATTGATAATCTGACACTGACAAAAGACTAAAACGTCGACCAAATGTGGAAGTATAAAAAGAAGAATCACTCAGATGTTAGAGTAAGGAAGTGTCCTTCAAAAACCTGCATATTTTTCTCTCAACCTGCAGAAAGCAATTTGTAAAATAGGCAAGTCTTTTGTATTCTTAAGTTTGTGAGTTCTTATTGTGCTAATATAGCCCGTCCTCACCCCTAACCCATCAAAACTGAACAGAGGAAATATGAATTATGAAGCCCTGCCACAAATTAGTCCAGCTAGAGTAAGTTTCTAACGATTTTGTAAATATTCTTGCAAAGAAAACAATGATTAACTAAAATTATTCCCTAATCTTTGCAGATTATCTATTGTAAGATTTATTTCCAAATTTTATTCACATGTTAATGCCACCCTTGTTGGAGCTATTAGTTTTGAAATAATTTGCCTTTATTTTAGTCGACAATATACTTAATACCCAAACCACCATGATGCAACGGTTGTGTTACAATATCTCGTTTAGTCAAGTGATACTTCTTTGCACAATTTGGTAAGTACTTAAGTATCAAACCAGCAAGTCACTTCTAAATTTTATCTGCAATTTGACATCTTTTTAGTGAGCGCTTAAAGAAGAACCAAGTATTCCATTGATTAAATCCCAAATTACTATAGCTTATAACCTCTGCCAATGTACTACCATTTACAATTCCAGATTCTGCAGTTTATTTAATCACTCCATGGTGACTTCCTCATTGCATTTCTAGATTCATGTTTTTTTCAAAATCATGGTCAACGATAGGTTTCATTCAAATTTGAAAAAGAGTACTTCCTCTATCCCATATTAGTTTGCCTATTTGACTTTTCATAGCCTTGGGTGATACATTTTGGCCATTGCTAACCATATTTGTAAATAAATAAATGTAGTAAGAAAATGATCAGTCAAACCTCTGTACAACAATATCATTTGTTTAAAACTTTTGTAGATGTTATATCAAACGACTTAAATACACCTATAACAGCATGATCTTATAAGCATATAACATGGAGTTGTACACATATAACAACAAGCTGTTACAAATAACAGATGGCCAAATACTTAATTTTTCACTTTTTTGTATTGTAGACATGCTGCCACCATCCCGATGTATTTACTTAGTTTGACTTTTTGTAGTAAAAAAAAATTGATAATCAATTAATAAAATTACATTACATATTAGTACAACATGATTTGATTAGATTTATCTAATATAAAGTTGGATAGCAAAAAATCAAATTAGAGAAACAGTACGAATGGAATATTTTCTTGAGTAAATAAATAAAAGATCTACAGGTGTATCCTGTTTTCTAGATTCTAACTTTTTAACAATTATAAATTTTTTGACTTCGCGATTCATATTTTGTGCCATAAGGAGTAAAGAGGTGATTCATATTTTGGGCCTTAAGGAGTAAATACTAAGTAGTAAAGAGATCACATCATTTTAAAAACATTATTCATATATATTGGGTATGATACTGAATGAATTGCATTAAATGAAGATAGGCTATTATGAAAGGTTACTTTACAAAGACAATACTAATCCAATTGTGGATGTTGCTTTTCAAAATATAAAGTTGTTATAGAGAAACAAACATATGCAAAAAAAACTTTTCTAAAAGAATAAGGTTGTTACAGTGAATTGTCGTTATATAATATTCTTGTTGTAGAGAGCTTTGACTATGTTTCAAAATAAAAATGAATTTAATAACATTACATTTGCAATATAACTAAATGTAATTCATCAACAAATTTTGGTAAAGTCTATAAACTTTGACCAATGAAAGTGATACATGCAAAATAAATTGGGATGAAGGGAGTAATAGAAATTCTGGTTTTAGTGTCAGATAGGATGGTTGATAAGGAGAGGTTTAACTATATTTCAAAACTACATTTAAAAGTGAATCTAATAACATTAAATTTACAATATAACTAAATGTAATTTATCAAAAAATTTGGTAAAAATTGTATTGAAAAAAATTAAACAAAGACAAATTCAAATACTTAGGTATTCGACTCTATTCGATTCATTTACAACCCTAGCCCAGCTAGCCGCAACCTCGACATATGCCTTGCAGTGCTTCACTTCTAGGACATCACAGCCCAAAGTTCTTCTCACATGAATTGAGCCTCACTTTCAGGCTACGCTGATCCGACCACATTTCACACAGGTTTCCCCTAAAAGTGGAACGGGCCTGGCATCTTGGGCTTAAGTATAGTTGCATTAATAAACTGGGTCAGGTGTATAAGTGTATTGAGCTAACTCCCAATATACCTATCAACTGCAGTTAAATAACAAATAGCCTCTACTACTTAAGTCATGTTTAATCCCTGTGAGTCTGTGGAGTAAATGCATTACGGTATACTAAGCATATTATAGCTACGATGAAAAAAACTACTTATGATGCACTACATATTAAGTATTACCTTAATCACATGATGCTTGATAAGAATTTCTTAGTAATCCATGGAGTAAACATGTCATATTTGCTAAGTGTTTGTTTGCAAACCTACTATGAAGAATTTTCACAACATAGGACTTCCATGACCACCATTTTCCCTAAGAGAGCAGGCAGTGCTCCTGTGGATGGGCATAAATTATCTTATAATATTCTCCAATGGGTTTGCGATGGTGAAGATAGACAAACAGGAAACACAATTAAAAACACATCTCCCGTGAGCTTGCGATGATTCAAGATATACAAACACAAAACACAATTGAAACAGATCATAATCAAGAGGGATTTACAATTCATCTTGCCCAACCAAATGACTAAATAGATGTACGCTGTCTTACCTTGTTTTTACACAGAGAGTTTCCAGCTTGACTGAATTAGTAAGGTAGTTAATCTAATTTGTAATCAAAATTGGGACAGAAGGAGTAATAAATTAGTGTTTCCTTTCTCTACTAGTGTAACTATTGATGGTTCTTAATCACCAATCTTACCTTGGTCTCTTCCATTGGTGGCAATCATAATTACGCCATTTTTTTGTTGGTTCAACCCAATTAAATATAAATGTGACACCTTTAAAGAAAATATAAATGTGACATTTTTTTGGTGCTTTTCAAAGTTTCCAACTATGCTACAAAATCAATTTCGTAAAATCATCAAAATCTTCAAATTGTTGAGATTATATGTACGACGTAAATAGACTAATTAAGTTAGATATATGCATAAAACGTATAAAGTAACTTGGATCCGGGAATGAATTATAACTAACCAGATTGAAGGTTTTTTAATGTTAACTGGATAGCATCTCTCTTCTGCACTTCGGCGTTGTAGTTAGATTTCAAGGTTTGAATCTCAGCAATCGCGTTAGTAAAATCCTGAAGTTTCAAAAGAAACAAAATGATTAACGGGAAGTGAACACAATAGCGAACGTCATACGGATGTAAGGACATACAACACAGATCTGATCGAAGCTGGAAGAGATGGACTGGATTGCTTCCTCGCTGACTGCCGCCATTGCCACGACGGTCCTCCGGACAGTCGTGTGTTATTGCCAGTGAAAATGAAGGAGAATCAAATTAATAAAAAGTCAAATCATTACATATGGTCACACGAGATGAAAGGGAGGGTAAAATGATTCGAATGGTGTTAAAATTGAAACTTTATAATTCTTTTTGGGACAAGAATGAAAGGAAATATTGTATAATCAAAATAAAGACGAAGAGCGTTGTGTTACTGAGGGAATATTGGACCGAGCAGCGTTGTGTTACTGAGGGACCCTCATCGCAGAAGAGGACTGCTGGAAATTTTCAACATTACGCCTAGAGTTCCTCGTCCTTCGTCCGACCATACTCTCACAATCTTATCTCACAGTAATCTCTTAATGGAAGCACCAATGATGAGAATTTGCCCAGCAACTATGGCGTACGAAGAAAAAGATAAACAATACGGAGTATAAAAAATAGTGGCATTATATTTCTCTTGTGTTAGGCACTATTTTGCTTGGTTTACAATGGAGGGCCAGCGCCCTATTTATAGCTCAAGTCTACCCTATACATAGTAAGTATTGTCGTGCACTACATCATCGGCCATTTTGCCGATCGTGCATCAATCATGGCGGTGAATCAGTTATAGATTCCTCTCAATCCCACGATTCAGAGGATTACATTTAATCGGATGTTGGATGTCTTCTCGGCCCACTCTCGGGCCTTGATTCCAAATTGTGGGCCAGCCCAACATCGAATGGGTCGTTCCTATTTGGGCCATCGACTCAGATATCCATCAACTTCTATGTAAGAAACATGGTTTAAGTAATCTCAGTTTGTCAGGGCACTGCTGCAACTAAGGTGAAAATAGTAGAGGGGGCTCAAGGTATAGCAGACAAAAGGAAGAGAATCAAGAGATCAGAAGGAGACGACTTGGAAGTGTGATTGGTCTAGTGCAGCTGCTTGCGTTTGTGCATTACTGTCAATCAACGGGTCGGTGTATCTACGTTCTCTCTTCTTTGGGAACTTAGATTTGGATCATGTTTTTGTACCAAGTGTAGTGACATAGCCTCTAGTGAGCGAGGAAAGGCGTTTCAAATGCTCAAGGAGTGAGATAGGGAAGGCGTTTCCAATACTCATGGATTTTCCCAAAGACGAGAAGCTGGATTGGATTTTATTGTGCTTGAAAGAGCTATTGATCGCGTTATGAACTACGGAATAGTAAATATTGGCTTCAGATTTTTAATGTTTCTAGTTGTCATACATTATAGTGTATTTTGTTTATCAAACAATTGGTTATTATGTTATTTGAGATTATGTTAACAATATTTTATTGATTAATCATTTGAAATGAAATTCTAGTACTTGTCAAACAACATCAAAATTTGAATTCTAGAATTGAAATTAAGAATTTCTCAAACAATTTATGGATTTGAAATTATGAATTTTGAATTTCTTGTGTTTGTCAAACATCGGAATGTAATTTGAATTATGGATTTCAAATTATAGAATTGAAATTCAAAAATTGAAAGGAACTACATATCCAAACACTACCTAAATTCAAAGATTATATTTTATGAGCTTTACAAAAGAAACATAGAGTACATGTCACACACAAAATGTTTGTCCAATTTTTTTTCTCACTTTCTTTTTTTCTCATTTTTCTTCATTTTTTTCCTCCCTTTACTTTCTTTTTTTCTTTGTTTTTTTCTTTTTTTCTTCTTCTTTGTTCCTTTCTTCCTTCTCTCTCGCCGACTCTCTTCTTCTTTCCCCTCGCATTAATCAATTCTGATCTTCTCTTCCACATCATCATTTCTAGAATAAACCTAGGGGTACACCAAAATGGAGTACTCCATTTATACACTAGACAAATGCAGATACTTAGTATCTATGGATTACAAACACTAAGTGTCTATGTTTGTCTGTACGTGTTTGCTTGGTGTACAAATGGGGTACCCCACTTTGATGTACCTCTAGCATGCCCCACATACTTTCCCCAATCAATAAAAATAATCTTAGACCTAGTTCTTTTGGGTTAGAATTTCAAAGTTAGATATTAAGAGAAACTAGAAAAAATTAGAAATAAATTGAAGGGATTGAAAAAAACCAGAATGAGTTGGAAAATGTTAGAAGAATTAAAAGTGGTTTTCTTTTTAATCAATAGACTTGGACAACAGTTGCAGACTTCCAAGACAAAAAAGTTTGGAATAATTTAAAGAGTAAATTCTATAATTGGTCCTTTATAACAAGGGGGTTTCCCTATTTAGTCCTCTATTATCAAATATTACCCAAGTGGTCCTTCTTTTATGGGCACATTTTCACAAATAGTCCTTTTTTTGATCTTCTATCATGTTAATGTTAATTTAATGGCTAAAAGTGTAATTTCACAATGATGATATATCTTTTTTGTCATACACAATTCCAAAGGCTGTTCCGTTTGCGTCGTTTGTGAATTATAGTCACTTTTTACGGCAACTATAGTCTACAAATGTGGTCTTTCGTGAGAATTCTAGCTCATAATCATAGTCATTATTTTTGTGTTATCCGATTAACCAATATCAGAACACGTCACTAGACATAATGTTGACGTCAAATTATACTTTTAGCCTTTAAATTTACACCAACACGGCAGAAGATCAAAAAAGGACCATTTGTGGAAAGGTACCCTTAGAAAAAGGACTACGGGGGTAATATTTGATAATAGAGGACTAAATATGGAAACTCCCCTGTTATAAAGGACCAATTATGGAATTTACTCTAATTTAAATACTCGGTAATAAAGAATGCGAGAAATTAGCTAGAATAATCACAACTTTACCAAATTTTTAAAAAATAATCTTACTTTTCACTGTGATGCATAGTAATTTAAACTTTACTGGGATTAGTGAGTTTTAGGTCGCCATTAAGTTGCGAATTGTGAGTTAACAGAAATGGCATGTTTTACGCAACAAAATGAAAGTTCAGATTATTTTCGATTAATTTTCATTTTTGTTTTTTTCAAAATTTTCATTTAAATTTTTAAAATTTCCTTCTACCCCCATCATTTTTTTCTTTTTTAGAGATTATATTACTTTAGAAAAAATAAAAAATAGATATAAAAAACAAAAAAAGACGAGAAAATAACTAAAATGAAACAAAATTAATGAAATAAATAATATAATTAATAGAAACTAACTTGAAAACGGTAAGAAATAAAATAAAAGCATACGACGTGGTGAATTTTAATATTTTACGCAGTATACAAAGTATTAGTATAATGTATCACTTCTTACTTTTTAGGAAACATTATGTAGAATAATTTTAACTTTATCTATTTTTTCAAAAAAAATCTCCCTCCGTCGCAAATTATTTGTTACATTTCGAACGAGAATTTTTTATTTTATAGAATGGTAAATTAAAACGAAAGTTATGGAAATGACGAAGGGGAATTTACTTAAATAACACTATAATATAATGAATTTCCTTAAATGACATCATACTCCCTCCGTACCTAAATATATCTCACATTTCTATTAACGAGATAAAATATCAAATTTTTTTCAATTCATTTTATTTATATATTGGTATAGAAATAAAAAATAAAATTTACACATCAAAAAACTATATTAAAAGTTTTTCGAAATAAGAGGTGTCAAGAATATTTTATTTTATCAAATAACCAATGAAAACGTAGAAATAAACAAAAGTTCTCGCGACGGCTGAAAAAGCAAATGTGAGATATATTTAGGGACGAAAGGAGTATGTGTTTTTTTTCCAATGTAACACTTTTAGTCATTATCCATTAGTCATTTTTCAAGTAAATGTTCGTTATCACTGGATATTATTTCTCCTTTTGAACATTATTAAATAATATTTAGAAAATAAAATAGTTTAAGTGGTATTTAAGGAAATGACTTAAATTAAATTCTAGTGCTATTTTAGGATATATATTTCAATGGATAAAATACAAATGTTCTTTTGTTAGGTTTGACTTGTGCAGTGTTTTCAAAATTTGAAAATTCCATAGTCACAATTGTTGAGTGCAGGGTGAAGCCGACGCAGCAGCCAGCAGCCATGGTCACGCATGTTGAAAAGGTGAAAGTCGAGGAAGGAGAGCCCCGCGACAGGTCCAACGCGCTATCCCGAAAGATTGACCGGTTGGCGCGCATCATTGAGTTCACCGAGTTCGCTCAGCAACCTGACGCGGTTCGCCGAATAGTTCGTTCCCAGTACTCCTCGATTCAAAACATCATCAACGGTGGGGCACGATTTCTGAATATTCTCTCTTTCTTTCGTTCGTTTTTAGATTGACAGTAACTTTGACTTTGCACAGAATGGCACTTCAAAATTGCTGAAATTGAAAAAATATACGCTTCAATTTTCCAAATATTCTCATTTTCTAAAATCAATTTTATCTTAAAATAAAATAAACTCCATTAATAACTTTCTTTTTTAGTGTGGCAATGGAGGGGGTGGTGTATATTTTTTTACACCAAAAGTGTACCCCAAATTTACACCACCCTCTTCCTTACCACTCATATTTATTTATTTACGGAGTATATCCTTTTTATTTTACATGCCAAACTGTGTGGCAATGGAGGGGTGGTGTATATTTGGGATACACTTTTGGTGTGTTCCTAGCATTTTTGTATTTGAAACTTTTATTTAAAAAATAAATTTCAACCAGTCTTTCATTTATTTTATTAAAAAAAGTGTTGACACAAAGAGTTTGACACCAAGTGTTTTTATTTATGCACAAACGTGGTTAGACATTGTGTGTTTGTCAGAGACAATGATTGTATGGTGGGTTCCTAGCACGATGTTTTTTAATTGATTATCTTTCACTTTTAATCCTTGGAGTCACACTTTCAATTTGATTTAGATGTTTTTTTTTTTGGAGAAAAAACAGAGAGAAGCTATGACATTGGGAACTCTGAATCAGATAGGTTCAAGAAAATCTTGGGCGACGTTGAAGGCTTGTTTCGGAGTGGTATGTTTTTCTCCTCTATTTTGATTCACTAGATATAATGCTGCACTTGTAAGGAGTTCCAAGCAGAGTTTTCTTATGATAACATTACACTGCTCCTCAAATTTTTTACTTTTTTTATGGTATTAAAGTCTTATAAGCTCAAACAAATATTTTGATTCAACCACACTCAACAATGAGTGCCCGGATTTTCATATTTTGTTTTACAAGTTTTACAAGTTTCAACCACACTCCAATTTAGTTCTCCACTTTCTAAAAAAAGATATTATTTTAAAAGTTTAATGAAATGAGTTCAAAATATCGAATGAGTCTGGTTATTACAAATTGATGTCAGCAATGCTTATCCCCTATCTCTATTTTTTGTTGAATATGGGAAGTATACAAGTGCTTAAGAGCGTGGACAACTTAAAATGGATATAGGGAGTACACTACAAACAAACACAAAAAGCTTTGGCCAACTACTCTTATAAGTTTGAGCTTTTGTTTCAAAACTCATAAACTAAAGTCTCTCCTTTCCTCAGTGGCAAGGCCACGTGAACAGGTGGCGGATGCAGAAACGGTGCTTGGACTTACCGGCACATTGGTGGATTCTGTCAAGTCTCATCTTAAGGGAAGTGTTACACCAGCAGAATTCGTGTCCTGTTTTCTTAAAAACTATGGGAAAAAAGGGGGAAGTCGTAAGAATGCAGGGCATGAACTACCCTGGAAAGAAATTGGGTGTGTTGTTTCACCTGTTTTCATGGATGGTTCTGGTTGCAAGACAATGTATGTGTGTCACTCTCTGAAGAATTTGATTGTGTGCTTGTGAGACGGGAGGTGAACTTTTTTTTATATGACATTGTAAGTGGGTGTTTGGCTTTCTTTCTCAGGCTTGGGCCGATGAATTATAAGATTAAGCTTGAACAAGTGGATTATAAGATCAAGCCTGAAGCATTGAATTATGTTATCAACCTAAGAGGGATCAGAAATCTGAGAAATGAGATTAAGAGGGCAAGACGTAATGCATATGCTTGCCCAACAAAGGTTTGCAGTTCTTTTTTTTTTTAACTTAACCATTCTCTCATAGGTTTTCTTCATCTAGTTGGCACCGGTTTTAAAATTACAATGGAGTAAAATCTTAATGATTTGTTTTTTGAAATTGTATAACCATTTAGAAACATTTTTTAGAGCGATTTGTTTGAGGGAAAACAAAATTTCTACCATCGGTTTTAAGTGATATGTTTTGTCTCTATATTTTCTAGTTGATCTGTCTATGGCTGATTGCTTACATCATTTATTCTTTTTCTCCTTCAACAGATCTCCGATAGCACTCCTGAGTGGAAATCTAATACTGAAAGGAATGTTTTCTTAATGTTTGAGGTCCTTGAAAAGAAGAAAAGTGTTAAGCTTGAAAATCTTGTCCTGAACAAAATTTCCTATGCTCAGACCATTGAAAACATATTTGCGCTTTCCTTCCTGGTTAAAGATGGCAGGGTTGCTATAAGCCTGGCAGAAAATGGCTCCCATTTCGTCTGTAAGATGAACAATCTCATACTGTATATTTTTATTCAGCATATTGAAAATTTAAGGAATAAAATATCCTCCCATAGTCCCATTTTTTCAATTGTTTTTAAGAAATTCAAAATTCGCAACTTTTGACTATTCATGGCATCTTTTTTTTCCTTCGGATTTACAAGCTAACTTTTGGTGCATAAAATGTACTCCCTCCGTCCGGATTCTGTTCTCCACTTTCTTGTTTTCATTTGTTCGTAAGTGGTTGTCTAATTTCCATATTTAATATTCCGTAAAAAAATCATGATGAATTGTTTAAAATATCTCAGAGATAAGGTATGAGCATTGTTGAAAGTAATGTTTAAAATATTCACTTGAAAGACTTCTTTGACATTTTAAACTATATACTCCGTATTTTCTTAAAAATGAGTTTTTAAAAAGAAAATCGACAACTAATTCCACATGAAGACTATTATTTTTAAGTCCTTATCGGAAGAAAATCATAAAACTCAAAATTTGATATTATTTCTTGCTTCAGTCATCAGAATGATCAATGCATTAATTATTTATGCTTGCCCTCTCACTTGTATTATATTCTGTATCTCAGCTACAAGGGATCCAGGAGCTTGTCCGGTTCCTCCCAGCAATGTGGTTAACCAAACTTCTATCTTCAGATTAGATTACATAGATTGGAAGGTAGTATTAATAAGAAACCTTTATTGTGCCTACAACTACAAACTTGAGCTCTTTTGGTTGAGTTGGTTTTTTTGACAGTTCTGGTTCCTTTAATTGACATTGATTCATAAGCTCTCGTATGATTAATCCTTCATTATTTCATTGGCAGATGATGTTAGATTTTGTGCCTGAAGGTGAAGAGCTGCTGATGCCACACAGGGTTTCCTAGAGGACTGAGTACCCATTACAAGTGCCACCAACACTTTTTGTCTGTAAAATATAACTCATTTGTCGGGAACCCGACAATGTATAGCGTTTTTTGTGTTGTAAGTTGATGCATCTTTGTTTTTGGGCACCTGCTGCTGAAGCTGCCGCCATCCAGTTCTCAAGCCGCTGATGTTTTTTGTAAGTAAGCTTTATTTGCTGAATGAATGGAGGTGGTTGGGTTTTTTGCACTCTCTCAGCAGAGTATGAGATGCTATGTAAATTTAGGGATGCTGCTATGTAAATTTTGGGGAAAATATGATGAAATTTGATCATGGCTTAAATTTAGTATTTTGATTCTTAAAAATCACTCAAAATAGGAACATAATATAACCCTTATTCCCGAAATAAGAGTGACATGGTTTTATCTCAAGATAAAACTGTTATTGCATTATGACAGACTGACAGTATGACATTGTATATTGGTATTTAAATGTGTTTTTTCGTATTATAAGTTGACATTATGAGCACTATAAGAGTCTGTTCTCTTCATTGATTTGATTGATCTAATTTGTTTTTTTAGATTTGATATGATATGATTCGATCTGATTTTAGTTGTAGTTAATTTTTTTTATAATATGATATGATTTTGATAAGAATAATAATCTGCAAGTAATAAGAATAAGTTGAGAAAACATGCTCCAAATCCTATTTTTGTCTTGTTAATATGTTTTAATACTATCCTTTGGCCTAGATTCTTCATGAACTATGTACATATTACATTTATATCAATGTAATTGTCCAACTTGATCTTTTCAAGTTAAACTGGATGAATTTGATCTCCATTATATAAAAATTTATAATTTATATTAGTATAAAAATGATTTTAATAGATTTATATCAATAACTTTCAAAATTTTATTTTATTATATTAATATAAACTCTGTAATGCAATTTGAGAGTAATCAATGATTAAATCTCTTTTAGTTTGATTTCAAAAAGTCAAACTTGAAAAATGCATTGTGACCAAATGAATATTTTATTTTACTTTATGAACTCCCAATAGGTTTCTCTTCGCTATTACTGTACGAACATAAAAACCTTTCTCCTAGTTAGGAGACAGTATTGATTCGGTTACTCACACTAAGCGATTAAATTGAACCAAATTTGCTTTGAAACCAAATCAACCGAACTGAGTAAAACTGATCGGCTTCGATCGGTTCGTATAAACAAAAAATGTTCGATACTAATATCTACTCCCTCCGTTCCACAAAACTCTTCCTCTTTCGTTTTTTTTGCTTTCCACAAAACACTTTCACTTTCTATTAAAAAACCATTTTACCCCTATTTTTTCATACCCTATCTATCACATCATACTTTTTTACTAATAATCAAACTATCACATTTTACTTTTTCCCATCACATCAGGGGCAAAATTGGAAAGTCAATCAAAATTACACTTTCCTTATTTTTTTCCCTAAGTCAAAACCGGAAGGGTTTTGTGGAACGGAGGGAGTACTGGATAGTGCCAAACATTGAAACATTATTGTTCAAATATTTTTTTATATTAAAAGTACTGCCTATTGGCTACTGCCAAAATTCTCCATAACATGAAAACAAAGAAATAATAAACATAAAAGGTTTAAACACGCCATCATGTTCACAAACAAGATATCATAACATTCCATAAAATTGATAAAAACATGCCACATTATAACAACCCCAAATGGCCAAATGACAATAGCGCACTATCCCTCAAGGCTCAAACAAAACATCTAAAAGACCAAAACAACTAAGAGGCAATGGTCCTGTTTGGCATCAGCTTTAGAGATTAGCGTTAGTGTTTTGAAAGAACTATCCGACGGTAGCCTTTAGCGTTAGCATTTTCAGAATTAATCTGCACCATTAGAATTTTATTCAAAACACTAACACTAATCGAAAACGCTGTTACCAAACAAAGCCAATAATTATATTAATAACAATCCAAGTAGAGTTTTAAGTAAATTAAAAATAAAATAAAATGACATCTGGGTGTTCTCCCAATATATGCAAAAAAGTAAAAATGTGTTCCAATTTGTGTATCTCTGCGCTGCAATTACTGACAGCTCTGTTTTTTATCAAAACGGAACTGGTAACTTTGTTTTGCAAGTCTGACATTACAATTAAACATCGGTAAAGTGTTGATATTTTAGTTAAAGTGCACAACAGAAGTGCTACTACTGTTTTGGTATGCAGTATTTTTTGTATAAACAATACTTTCTATTTCCCAAAATGTTATGCACTTTGTAAATATAAACCCAATGTTAAATCTCTTCAGTTTATTTTATTTCAAATATTTGATATAAAAATATAAAAATAAACTTGCATATTTAAATTAGATTTTTTTGAGATGGATGAGAGTAGCAAGTTTGAACTTAAAATTGAACAGTACACAAAGAAAAATGACAGAAAATGAAAATATGTGTTCAAACAAAATACTAGAAAATATGAAATAACTATTGCATGATTAAACAGAGAAAAGAACTAATACTCCCTCCGTTCTCAAAAACACTTCCTCTTTCATTTTTACTACTTCCAACAAAACACTTCCATATTCTATTAAAAAACTAGCCACTTTTATCCTTACTTTTTCATACCCTACCTATCACATCATACTTTTCCTCTAATAATTAATCCATCACATTTTACTTTTACTCATCACAGCAGGGGCAAAATTGAAAGTCAACTATAATTTAATACTTCCTTATTTTGGCTCCAAGTCAAACTAGGAAGTCTTTTTTCAAACGGAGAGAGTATTAAATTAGTTGGGGGCCATTTGCCCCCTACTCCTAAGGCATAGGTCCGCCTTTGCACTATTAGAATACTGGGGGACGGAGGGAGTATTATTTATAAATATATTTATTAAATTAAAGTTTTTAAATTTATAATTAAATAAATTAAATTAAATTTAAGTTTGCATGTCCAAGGGTAAAAACATTTCCGGGAGTATTTAGAATTATGAATCTTAGATGGAGGATAGAAGTGGTTGAAGTACAATTAATTACTCGGAATTCGGAAAAGCATGAATTAATGGAGGAGTGAAGTACAGTCCGTATATTCCCCGGGACAGCAATTTGTTTTTGTGCTCTTATCGTTTAATTATCATACTGAGCTGCTGCTTTGAGGGCGGTGCGATCTAAAAGGGCGTGGGAGTCGTTTGTGCCTTTATAACAGATCTGGATTCTCATTGATTTCTGCACCAAAATAGAACGAACCACGACGACAAAACTCTCTCTCTCTCTCTCTTAATTAATTCATACAGATTCTCATCGTCATCATCATCTGATATTCTGATCTGGATCCCATTGACGATAATATCCCCTCATCCATTACTAATTAATCTGGATTTGAGTACACCATTAATGGCTGCGCCCCACTCCTCCCCAGCTCCTTCTCCACCTCTTCATCAGGTAGAAGATATATATAGTCTCTAATACAGTATAATCAACACTTTGGTTTTATATATGAAGTCCATTTTGGTTTTTTAATATCTATTCTCTGGTTTTTTTTTCTCTCGTTTGTTTACGGAGAAGCCCGAGGATCACCAGGCAACACAACAAAGTGGTCATCATCATATCTCCGGACTGAATGCTAGCAATGGAGGGAAGCCCCCAACGAAGATAACATGGTTTCTAAAGCGTTTCAAGAAGAAAAAAACCGGTGGTTGGACCTCAGCCACTTTCTTGCTAGGTACGTATAGAGTAGAGAGTTTTGAATCCGTAATAACTAGGTTTTGATACCATGTCAAGAAACCAATTCAACCAAAAACTCGAGGGAGTCTATTATTATCTATCTATACTAATTAATCATTATTAAGGAATAGTAAAAAAATGCAAAATTTTCAAAAATGCACATACTATAAACTTTTAAATCTCCTTTTATTATTAAAAAAGTACTAAAAAAGTAGATTTGTGATATAATAGAAGGGTATTATTGATATTTAGCCTTAAAAAGTATACTAAAAAAGGAAATGAGAAAAACATTTCCGGACGGACCAAAAAGGAAAATAGGAAGAATATTTTCGGACGGAGGGAGTATATCTATCTATACTAATTAATCATTATTGGTAATGTATTGAGTGATTAATTTACTAGCTAGATCAATCCTCTATGATTTATATACCTTGTTTCTTGGTGAATATATGTATGTATGTATAGTAAACCAAGGGCTTGCGACGCTGGCGTTCTTTGGGGTAGCGGTGAACTTGGTGCTGTTCTTGACGAGAGTTTTGGGGCAGAGTAACGCCTCTGCGGCAAACAACGTCAGCAAATGGACCGGAACGGTGTACCTCTGCTCTCTATTGGGCGCCTTCTTCAGCGACTCCTACTGGGGCCGCTACCTTACATGCGCCATCTTCCAGCTCATTTTCATCACGGTACGGTGGTATATATACCTTCAAGTCGATCTTCTCTTTCTGCAATATAATCCGGAATCAAATGGCTTAAATTTATGACTGTAGCTTGCTTACTCTGTGCTCTCTCTAACCCTTAAAGAACTTTCTTGCTGCAGACTTGCGGGTTACGCCGTGAGCATGTTGTTTAAGAGGTTATTTTTTATTTAATTCATATCTCTTCCGTCTCTAAAAGATATTTTTACTTTTTATTTAAAAGTTCTTTTTAATTGCATCTACTAATTATTGCCTAATCTATAATATCATAATCTATTCAACGCTAATCTACTCTTTACATTCTAAAAGTCAAAACGGGAAAGATTTAGAGGGAGTAGGAAAACTAACCTAAAATTTAAAACAAAAAACAAAACTTATAGAGTACATTTAAAAAATATCAAACCACTAAAATCCATAAAAAAGTATTTCATCCGTCCCATAAAACCCTTCCTTTGTGAAAAAAAGCGCACCCTTAAAAAATGAGCAATTTTGATGTTATTTTCTAATTTTGTTCTTACTTTATACTCCCCGTTTCTAAAAAGGGTTCCTATTTTGACTAATGGGTAAAATAAGAAGCGCATATTTGTAGTTGACTTTCCAAATTTACCTCTGCTCTCTATTGGGCGCCTTCTTCAGCGGCTCTTACTGGGGTCGCTACCTTACATGCGCCATCTTCCAGCTCATTTTCATCCCGGCACGACGATATATATGCCTACAAGTCAAGTCGACCTTCTCTTTCTGCAATATAACAATCCTGAATCAAAAACTTAAATTTGTGACTGTAGCTTGCTTACATACTATATGCTCTCTCTAACCCTTAAAGGACTTTCTTGCTGCAGACTTGCGGGTTACGCCGTGAGCATGTTGCTTAAGAGATTATTTTTAATTTAATTTATATCTCTTCCGTGTCTGAAAGATATTTTTACTTTTTATTTAAAAGTTCTTTTTAATTGCTTCTACTAATGATTAACTAATCTATAATATCATATCAATTCACAGTTAATCTACTCTTTACATTCTAAAAGTCAAAATGGGAAAGATTTAGAGGCACTATGAAAACTAACCTAAATTTTAAAAAGAAAATCTATAGAGTATATTTAAAAAACAACAAACCACTAAAATCCTTAAAAAATACTCCACCCCCCCATAAAACCCTTCATTCAAAAAAAACACTCTTAAAATGAGTAATTGTGGTCTTATTTTTTAATTTTGTTCTTACTTTATACATACTCCCTTCATTTCTGAAAAGGGTTCCTATTTTGACTAATGAGAAAAATAAGAAGTAAATATTTATAGTTGACTTTCTAAATTTGCTCTTGATATGATGGATAAAAGTAAAATGTGATGAATATTACTCAAAATTATGATCTAGGAAGGGTGTTGGCACGCACACCTTATTTGTGCTAAAAGATAGAGATTGTTTGTAAGAGATTTACAACATACTCAAGCATTTATAATCAGATTACACCCTGAAAGAAGACACAAAAGCACCACCAAAGTAAAGTGAAAATAAGTGGGTGAAAAAAAAAAGAAACTCAATCTAATTTAATGTTCCATTTGTTTTCCGGCTCTGGATCTAGGTTTCATTATTGAACTAATGATGCGTCACATGCATGCATACATGCACTAACGCCTGGGGCAAAAATGTATTGACTGTCCTGTACTGTATGTGTATCAACCTGCAGGGGCTTTTGCTCTTGTCCTTGGTGTCATGGGCTGTGTTGATAAAGCCAGAGGGGTGCGGTGACGGCGTAGCCGCGTGCAAGCCGCCGACCACGTACGGGTCGGCCACATTCTACCTGGCCATCTACCTGGTGGCGCTGGGGTACGGGGGGCACCAACCCACGGTGGCCACCCTGGGGTCCGACCAGTTCGACGAGTCGGACCCCAAAGAGGCCTCTTCCAAGGCGGCTTTCTTCGGGTGCTTCTACTTCGCCCTCAACCTCGGCTCCCTCTTCTCCAACACCATACTGGTCTACTTCGAGGACAACGGGTGCTGGAACTTGGGGTTCTGGGCGTCTGCCGCCTCCGCCGTGCTGGCGCTGCTCCTCTTCTGGCTCGGCTCGCCGGGTTACACTTGCGTGAAGCCCTTCGGCAACCCCATCTACAGGATCGCCCAAGTGTTCACGGCCGCTTTCCATAAGCTGCATGTGAGACTCCCCGAGAGGCGGGAGGAGTTGTACGAGGTTGACTCCTCCCATCCTTCTGTTATTGCTGGAACTCGGAAGATCCTACACACTGACAACTTGAGGTTAATTAGCTAGTTCCATCTCTCATATATTTAACTCTCACATTTATATACTCAATGTGTGCCAAAAAAATCTTTCTATTTTTATTTCCTTAAAGTATCTCTAGCTAATAGAAAGGTTAAGAGAAAGTAATAGGTATATAAATTCTTGAATTCAACTAGTAATAAATAAATAAAATTTGATTCAATTTTTTAATATCATTTAATCTGAGTGTCTTATGATCCAATCCAGTAAGACTTTCTCCTTAAATTCTATCATGGTATATAAGAAAAATTAATTTGGCCGGATAGTGTATATTTGTTGTACAATATGTCAAAACAAAAATATGGAGTAACTACTTAATTGCGAGTTGTGCCACCGTAATCCAAGGTTCACATGTAAAATTTAGATCTTCTCATTTTTAATAGGCTACAAGTGTCTTTTTTTTCACAAAAGAACTACAAGTAATCCTTTTAAGGTATTTATATATACTAAGGTACATAAAATGAGTCTGGACCCATAAAAAGAAAGCTATTGATATTGCATTTGTTGCAACACAATATATTTTTTCTGTATATCGAGATCAAAATTTACAATCTTTGACCAAGAAAAATCAAATAACAATACTGCTTCCGTTCGAATTTAATCTTTTCATTTCACTTTCACGATCTTTAGTGTTATACTTTAATTGATCATTAGTGCCGATATTTATACATAAAAAATTTATAAATGTTTAATATTTCAAAACTACCTTTTATATACTTTTTTCTTATATAGTAGTCAAAATTTATAATCTTTTGACTAAGAAAAAAATTAAATAGAGAGGGAGGGAGCATTAAACTATGGAAGGGAGTATATATATACACACACAAAGAGGGAGGAAGTATTTGGGGAGTATGAATTTGAATTCCTTTTAAATTTTGAATGTGAGAGGTGCAGGTGCTTGGACAAGGCGGCAATTGTGACCCGAGATGAGCGGTACGGGAAGCCGAACCCGTGGAGGCTCTGCACAGTGACCCAAGTGGAAGAGGCGAAATGCGTGATAAGGATGCTCCCCATATGGGCCTGCACCATAATGTACTCCGTCATCTTCACCCAGATGTCCTCCCTCTTCGTGGAGCAAGGGGAGGCGATGGACCCCCGCCTCCGCGGCTTCCGCCTCCCCGCCGCCAGCATGTCCGCCTTCGACATCTGCAGCGTCCTCCTCTGCACCCTCCTCCACCGCTTCCTCGTCGTCCCCTTCGCCTCCTCCCTCAGCAACAACCCCAGGGGCATCACCGAGCTGCAGCGCATGGGCGTCGGCCTCGCCATCGGGATGCTCGCCATGGTCGCCGCCGGCGTCACCGAGATCCAGCGGCTCCGGCGGGTCTCCCCGGGGGAACATGCCAGCAGGCTGAGCATCTTCTGGCAGGTCCCCCAGTACGTCCTCGTGGGGGCGTCGGAGGTCTTCATGTACGTGGGGCAGCTGGAGTTCTTCAACGGGCAGGCCCCCGACGGGATCAAGAGCTTCGGGAGCTCCCTGTGCATGGCGTCCATGTCGGTGGGGAACTACTTCAGCAGCATGCTGGTGAACGTGGTGATGGCGGTCACCGTCCGCGGCGGGGCGGTGCCGGGGTGGATACCGGAGGACCTGAACACGGGACACATGGACAGGTTTTACTTCCTCATTGCCGCCCTCGCCGCGGCGGATCTTGTGGTGTTTGTCATGTGCGCCAAATGGTACAAGTGCATCAAGCTTGAGGAGACCATTAGTGTGGAGGAGGAGGAGGAGGAGGACTCAACGTCGCGCTTGAAAGAAGGGCAGCTAGACGATGAGTTAGATCGGGTTTGATTGAATATGAATATAATGTTCTCTCGGTTTGAAAAAAAAGATTCCATCTCCATTTTTTGCACGTCCCACAAAAGATTTTTTAACTCACTTGAAATACTTAAGATACTCATAAATTAATTTCTACTCACAAAAAAAAATGGGGTTTACTTTAAAAAATTTGGTGGGAGTTTAAATATATTCTAGGATGAGCAAAAAATGATGGTGATTTGTTTTTTTTCAAGCGTATGGAGTGATTGTTATGACAATTCTTTTGTATGATTCTCATTAGAATTTAATTTTAGTACGGGGTAAATATTAGATCGTCATTCTAAATTTTTATAAAATTTCAAGATTTTGTGACTTTGCTTTTATTTGCGGCGTATTGGAATTTTCCCTCCGTTCAAAAACTTCTTTCTCGTTTTGACGTGCATAGAGATTAAGAAAACTTAAAAAGTATAAAGACGTTCCATATTTTTCCTTTGATGTGATTGAACAAAGTGAACAGTGTAGATAAAAAGTGGGGATATAATGAAACATTTGTTAAAATTGTATTGCTAAAATGGAAATGGAAAAAAGTTTTTTGAATGGTCCAAAAGGAAAACTGAGAATAGGGAGTAATATTTTAGTACTTTGGTGCAAAGGGAACCTTTGGGCTCCTTTCGGATGAGAGTTAGGAATGGAGGGGCGGCCATGTTTAAGTAAATAAAAAAATGTAAAAGAGGGGAGTTATTAATGAAAAAAAAGGAGAAAATATAATGGGGAGAATTGTTTCACACGTCTGGGGAGTTTTTTTAAAGGACAAACAAAGAGATTATTAATCATTACTACTCCCTCCGTCACTGAGTGTTTGTCTACTTTCATTTTTGCACACCATCCAATGTACTTCTTTAATCCATTTTATCTTGTAATTTGTATATTAAAAAATTATATATTAATAATCTATATGTTAAGACGAATCAAACAAGATCACACATGACTATTTTTAGGCTTACACATTGAGAGAATTTGATAAGTCAAAGTGCTTAGATGAACAGTTCTAAAAGTAAAAAGTGAACAAACACTCAGGGACGGACCAAGTAATAAATTTCGATGCAAAGTAGTGCGGGGGCGGGGGGGATTTGAGCCAGAATCCCATGTTCAGAGGAGAGCGAACGGCCTGTGCGAGGGCATGGGCTGCTTCGTTCGTTGAACGGTAACCAAAAGTGAATGAAACATTATCTCCAAGTGAGAGGGTAATATATAGTCTTACAAGAACAAATAATATGAAAAACAGGAGATCGAGAGATTTGGAACTCGATGTTTAGCGAGGGCGTTGACCACCGAGAGACAGTCAGACTCTATAATGATGTTGCGCTAGGGACAGTCTTTTAGCCAACTGAGTGCTTCTTTGGATATGGTAGGCAGAACGGACATTGTAGAACCCATTCGAGGTGTTGCGCTAGTAAATGGAATCAGTTGTGGGACTTGTTGTTGGCAAGAGGATTCAAATTAGAATAATTTCACTCCAATTAACTTTCTTAAAACTTAGTTACCAAAATCTAAGTCAATAAAGCATACCATAACAACACTATAAAATCTATCACCTTAACTCAAATATTCCCGGCCTATTTTTTTATACTACATACACTTATTATACATATACGAAATTTAAATATAGTTAAAAGGTGAAAATTGTATAATTTGAATATATTTAGAAGAGAAATACGAGTAGATATTTTGTAAAATAATCATTTTTTTAAAACGAGAAAGAAAATAGTAAAAATTGTTTTTGAATGATTATATTAAAAAAAGTGTAAAAACTTTAAGGGGAGGAAACAGTTATAATTTGATTAACCTATTTAACATGTGTTTTTTTTTGTCTTTGCTATGAAGAGTTTTTCTTTATGGAGTAATGAAAAAAGAACATTAAAATTGTGAAGCTATTAAAGAAAAAAATCACAGACGTGGAGCAGGAAGAATGGAACACGCAACCATTTCATAATTTTAAATACGCGCATAACCACTGGAGCACATACAACATAGCAATCTTAACAATATACAAAAAATCCGCATCTGCCTACGGAGGCCATCTCCCGGCCAGGATGATGGCGAGGATCAACAATCTCCACCCATCCCCAGCGGCAGCGGCGACGTCCCGTGCTCCGGCCACCAAATTAGCCGGGGCAGCGACGTCCCCTGCTCCGGCCTCCGAATGAGCCGCGCCCCGGAAAATCCGGACGCAGAGCTGCAAGAAACGGCAGAAAACATGGCGGAAAAGCCAAATCACCCATGTTGCAGAAAGAGTTCCCAACACCCTCACAGGTGTGGCCAAGGAATCGGGTTTGGGCATTTTTGAAGAGAGGGAGAGAGGGTGAGAAGGCTGGAACCCGAATCCTTGGCCACACCTATGATGGTGTTGGGAACTCTCTTTGCAACATGGGTGATTTGGCTTTTCCGCCGTTTCTTGCAGCTCTGCGCCCGGATTTGCCGGTGCGCGGCTCATTCGGAGGTCGGAGCAGGGGACGTCGCTGCCCCGGCTGATTTAGAGGCCGGAGCAGGGGACGTCACCGCTGCCGCTGCCGCTGCCGCAGGGAACACCGCCGCCCCCGGGGACGGGTGGAGATTGCTGATCCTTGCCATCATCTGGAGGATCCTGGCCGGAAGATGGCTTCCGTAGGCAGATGCAGATTTTTTATTACTCACCCACCTGTACTAATGAATTGAAATGGTTGAAATGCTCTGTTTCAGGAGTTCAATGCCCACCTTACACGCCAATGCTTCTAAAATTTGGTTCTTGTACAAATCCAAGTCACAGGAGTTGCCAATCATCTTGCTTGCCATTCTCAGATTCGCCTGTGGGGATCACATCAAATGAATCGAATCCCTCTGTTTCCACGTCATGACTGGGCTTGTTTTCATACTCAACTAACTTTGAGGGATTCCGGGTCTTGGCTATGGTGAATAGAGGAGCGCCGTTTGACTTCTCTGCCAGCTCAGTTGACCGCGAACATAAGTCATCAAAATCATCTGACAAAAATGGGGGGGAAATAAATAAAAGCTAATTACTAACAAGAAGTGAGCAACCGTTTTCGTAGATTCAGTCAAGACTTGAAGCAGTTCAAGAAATCGAAACATAGAGTTATATATACTTCTTTCTTTGCAGTAGAACCCGATGGCCAATGATGGATCAATGGAATCAAGAGGTAAATGTGATACAACACTGATATCAGATCAAAGAAGATGTTAGCCATACACTCAATACAGGAAATGGAAGAGAATATGTATTCAAAAAAATCACAAGAGATTACTTGCAATGGTAAGATGATGTATCAACACCTGATACATCCAAAATATCCCTTTTCATATCAACAACCTGCTAAGAGTACCATTCGAAAGAGTGGACAGTAGTGTTACTATATGGTAAATCAATGACAGAAAGTAATCTTAGACTGGAAAATTAACGTTAAATAGTACAGGGATTCAGGGAAGCAGCAAGATTAGAACAGAAGCTAAAGTTGAAGTTGTTGGTCCATAAACAAAAAACACAGGGAAGCAAAACAATTAGGTGTTGTTCGGACATTGGGTAGACCGTATTTAAAATTCTATTTTGCTAATATTTATTTTTTAACGAACAAATAAAACTGACATACTCAGAAGTCCTAAACCACGCCAATAGTTTTATAATCAAGTAGTGACATAAATATCTAATTATAAAGACAACAACAACAACAACCCAGTTAAATCCCACAAGAGTAGGGTCTGGGGAGGGTGTGTGTACGCAGACCTTACCCCTACTCGAAAGTAGAGAGGCTGTTTCCAAAGAGACCCCCGGCTCAACAACGAAAGTTGGTAAAGAAAACAAAAGAATATTAAAGAAAACAAATTTGGTAAGATGTAAATTGACCAAAGAAGTAACGAAGACACGCAGAGCATGGGACGAGAGGGAAAATTATAGGGTAATTTAAGGATACGTTTCATGTTCGTGCTCCTGTGTTTGAGCCGATGATCTTTTAGAAACAACCAGTAGGGGTAAGGTCTGTGTACAAACACCTTCCCAGGCCCAACTTTTTGTGGGATTTACTGAGTTTGTTGTTGTTAACATCAGGTTTCATCATGTCTAACCAAGCTACACCATACTAACATGTCTATATTTCTTTTATATGCACGAACAGGTGCACTAACGATTTTCGAAAAGCAAGCAGTAATTAGAACGGATCATGCTTATTTATACTGCCTGTGTGGTTGCATCCCTATTTAGTCTACCCCTATCTGGCTTTGCATGGTGTTCATGCAAACTGCCAAACTAAACAGCTAAGGTTCTCAAACAAACTTGAAAAAAACGGGTCTCAAACATAAAAAACAAGCTACCTTCGTCCCAGAATATTTGTCCAGTTTGACTTTTTTGAGTCTAACTGGAGTAACTTTGATCATCAATTAAATAAAAATTGTATTCTATACTAGTAAAAGATAATTTCATTAGATTTATCTTGTGGAACACTTTCAGAAATTTATTTCATTCTATTAATATGTAGCACAAATCTAATGTAATTATTGAAAAGTCAAACTGGACGAATACTCTTGGATGGAGGGAGTACGTTTTAGCTCAACTCATGCTGATTTATACTACCGGCATGGTGGCAACCCTATATGATCTACCACATCTAACATTGCATGGATTTTAAGGAAGTGTTTCAATATCAACCACAATCCTTCCATTTAAAAAATGGGAAGATAATTTGGGAAGAGAGAAAATAGGAAAGTAAGATGATTATTAGGAGACGGAGGTAGTAACATGTTATTGCTTTTGAAACTCCTGTGTATCAACCCTAAGGATTTATTTATTTGATCTAAAAGTTAAACCTTTCTGTTGTAGAATGCATCTTCTAAGTGCCTGAAAATTTTAATATACACTGCAGTGGCAAAACTTGTAGAAGCAACTTCCATCAAACAGAAGTTTGAAGTGTGTGGTATGATCCAATAAAAAATTGAAGCCAGATGCTGAAATATGATCAACGTGGCACAATTGAAGAAACATGTCATGAAACTTGGGAAATATGATAGCTACTGCCATCCGGAACAAAGCATCACTAGAAGGAAGAAGTGGTCAACCAATTGCATATAGCTACCTCCGTACTAAACTACTAATGGTAAGTTATCAACCCTACAAAATTTCGCAAGGTTGCTAAACTGTAAGAGTACAAATGGTAAATCCTAAAGAAGATTGAAAGGTGTCATATCATTGTACTCAATTGAAATCCATATGGATGCTCCCATGCTGGAGTTCACTACCACAGTACCACCCATAGAAAGCTCACCGCCACACCAGCCACCTCCCCATGTCAAACACGCCCAACAGAAAAGGAACAACAATATGTATAATGAATACTTTTAATGAAAAGAGCCTGGATTCTAAGAATCATTTCTCCCCAATGACTCTGGGTTTTCTCCTCTGATGAGTGATGAGTACAGAGACGATCGCAATAGGTAATCCCATAAGTACATGAGCCATAGCAAAAATGAGGTAAATGAAAAGAGAAGCAATTACCTGATGGGCTTCATGAGGGTCAAGATAAAATGCTTTGTCATCCTGCACACCAACAATGTATGTGGACGCTCCAGGTCTACCACCCAGGATTCCTAGGCTCTGGGGGAAACTAAATGTAGTCCTCAAGAAAGGAATATACCTAAGAAGGAAAACATTAACGAATAAATTAATCATTATGAATACAAAAGACAAGGGTTGTGAAGAAACAAACATGAGGAAATGTATAACTCAAAGTCTCAAACACACTATGCATGGGAAAATGTATTTTCCCTTCCTTTTTCAAGTAGAGAAAACTAGAAGCCAAGTTTATAACTCAACAACAACTTTCCCTTCCATTATGAATCCCGCAATAGCACGGTCTGGGGAGGGCGTATGTATGCAGACCTTACCCCTACCAATATTAGCTAGCTCTTCAGATGTATGAAGCATTGAAGCAATTTTTGTTGTTGAAATATTAGGATAAAGTATTGACATTACAACTTAATCAGTAATCACTCGCATATACAACACCTTCTATTTTAGCTCACCCTCTTAGTACCTTCCTAGCTCACTTTTACACCTATATAATGGTGTGTTCTTCTTATATAATGTAACCAACTTGTTGTAAACTCCATCTGTGTGGAATTAGTTGTCCTTTTTCGAAAAATCTCATTTGAAGAAAGGAGTTGGAAATGTCAAATATGTCCTTGAAATGAGTTTGACAGTCATTCATATAAACAATGCTCATACCCTTTCTTAAGAATATTTTAGACAATTCATTATAATTTCTTTATTGAACATGGATATAGGTCAACTCATTCCGGACAAATGAAAATAAGAAAGTAGACAACTAAGTCCGGAATGAGGGAGTAATAGAAATCAGTGTTTTTCCTTTCTCTCTTCTTCTGTCTCTTTCCTCTATTGCTTATGCTTCCATGGTGGGTTTTGGTCTCTAGTCACCACCTAGCCTTAATATATAAATATTAAACATGGTATCATATTCAATTCATTTATGGTGTTAATATCATTTTTCTGGCAGAAATAGTCTATGTTACCTGACGAGTGCTTTCTCTGGCAGTGGTATCCAAATAAAAACCCACCACCAGATCCATCTCATCATGTTTCTTCACCAAAAAACAACACAGCCTCCCACCGCTAGATTGAGAAAAGGAAGAGAAAGGATAAGTGAGGATGGAGATGCTTAAGAAAGCAGTACAGTCTACACTTATGCCTTCATCTACTAACTTAACGCTTTGACCTTTTTAAAGCAATACTATTCTAGTATTTTCAATCCAGCAAGTTCTTGTGCCATATTCTATTTTACCCTGTTTCGATTATTACTTTATTTAAATTAATACGAGACTTACGCAATGCTTCGTCTCATGAAGCAGAGGGATATATCCCGGAATGGCTCCATTCCACCATCTCCCATGCCAAAAGAGCTCAAGGAAGTCAGGGATCTTATGTCCAATGCTATGATCAATTTTGGGTTGAATTCCATCATCCTAAAACATTAACAGGCCACGTGACTACCCTTTTAGCTCAAACCTCCCCCTTGGCTGAATGCACCTAAGAAAACAAAGACCGCCACCACCTTAAATGTTTCCTACCTTATCACAATAACAATAATGAAATCTTCCCTAATCATCAACCATTATGCCGAAATAAAGGAAGAAAGAATACCTACATTCCCTTGTTTTGAGTCATCCATTGTCAAACCAGTCCATTTTATCTACGAAAACTAAGTTCACCCAAAGACCTTCCAAATTTACACCACATTGCCAAAATCGACCTACCCAAAAACCCTAAAAACCATATCCTAGCATTCCTCATTTCCTATGGCCAAAATAACCACGCAAAAAAAAAGAAGAAAACAACACAAAACATCTACTATAATTTTTGTGTACCAATGTTTTCTTGTTCCACTTTAATTCCATGTCTTATCCCATGTTACATTAGTAAAAGAATATATGAACACCAGCACCTACCCTGACCAGTTTCAACCCCAAAGGAGTGTAGCATGTTGGGACAAAGTTCCATAATTTAAGCATTAGTTGGGTCATTCTTCCTAAAAATGTGGCACCATGTTTCAAAGAAGACCAAATCCATTATTGGCATGTGAGTGTGGTGTGTTGTCCTCCTTAGTCCACTTGTATTCTCGTCATTTTCTTCATTTAATAATGCACAAAGAGTCAAAGACTATGAATTGTAAGGCCTTACATATATACGGCCATAATAGAGTAGAAGGTATCTTTGAATGTTTAAACATATTGTAATACACTAATACTCTTTGAGTAGGACTCCTTGAATAAAGTGTGATACTTGTTCAAACTATTTCTAAATTTATATCTTTTTAGTTGGCTACTTAAGAGTGGGCATTAGGAGTATATATTTGTACCTTAGTAGTGATTGTTTTTGCGTGAATAACAAGCCCTAACGTGAGAATGTGAGATAAGAGTGTGTTATATCTCTTAAATCAACTTAGATTATCCCTCTTCCCTTTTCCCCTCATTCGGCCATAACCAACCCTCCTCTTCCATCATTGATATCTCTTTTATATACTCCGTATTTGTTTAACTCCTAGGCTAATATATAACATTTGGCACAAAGCCCACTTGTTCTACATCCCATAGGGCCTTGCACACCAACCATAAAAAACAAGTAAACAACAAAAGAACTCTATTATTTCATCTTTTTATCCACCTCTACTTTTCCTAGCTGCCATTCATACTACAACCACCAAATTAAATTTACAACATCAGACAAATGACTTCAGTCACTACTCAATATCAATTATCAACCACTAGAATAATTTTACTCCCTCCGTCCAAATTAAAAGGCACACATTCCAAATCGGGCATCTTAAACAAAAAGGCACACATCCTAATTTGGCATAACCAACCTACTAAAAATACTATAGCCAACCTACTAAAAGGCACACATTCCAAAATACTATAACCAACCTACTAACCAATCTTTCTTATTCCAATTACTTTCTTATGTTTTCAATCACTTTTATACACTCTTTTTTCAACCCACCCACCCCTACCTTTTCGATAACTTTTACACTCTCTCTAATATTACAACCACATGTCAAAAATGGAAACTCAACACCACTCTAAATTTTGCCTTAATCTCTGTGAAGTCAAACCGTGCCTTTTGGTTTGGGACGCAGGAAGTAAATTAGTCCATGCTTCTAAGTAGACAAAGCCTGAATATGTTACTAAGAATTACTTTTACTTTCTCTTTTTAATATCAGTAGTCAAAATGCTAGTCCAAGCGGCATGCCTACACGCATATCGGGAAACCTTTTCCACATTGCTACTTTTCTCGACACAAAAGGTTGTTCCAACTGTTCTCGCTATGAGGTGCAGTTTTTAAATGGTTCTTACTGATTTGGCGCTTCTACTCACAAATCTAGAGTAAGTGACAAGATAAAGGGAAACTAAGCCACGATAGAGTTCTTGAAAAAATCCGATACTGAAGTCTTATTCTGTTACATATTGACTCGAGGATGAAAATGCTGAAAATTAAATAGTAATAGAGCAGCCCAACATAGGTTTTGGAGTAACAAAAAATATGTATGTCACAAGAGTTCCAAAGGAAGACACTGTTCTTAGTAAAATCAAAACTAGATTATGTGCATCCACCATACAACTTGGGTTATTGCATTACGATGATAACCTAAAACCAACTTTCAGGCCATACCTTGGGTTAAGTTTGTCCAATCCTAGAACCAAAGGAACCAGCAAAAGAACAGGGGTCCAATCCGTTTCTCCTTTTGAAATTTCACCGCAATGTTTCAAAATATCCTCAATGCAAAGAACAGGCGCTCCACCCCTTTCTCCATCTTCATCTCCAGACACAACAAAGATTGTCATCTTCGAATGCACATCATCATTTTCTATATCCTGTATATTACAACGTGCCAGTATTTCCCATGTGCGGCACATTGCATATGGGCCGACCCATGAACCAGGAGAAAGGCCATAAGCCTTTCCAGCCTCAAGAAGGTTGTGGATTGAGTAAGCTGAGTCCTCTGAGTCGCCAAAAAGGTGCAATATATCAACATATTTTTTCTCAAATGGCTGCGAAATCAGAAATCCAATATAAGTTTTGTGAGATAATGATTGCAATTCAAACAAAGTTCAACAAGATCGCTATTTTAGGTCTAATGACCACTAATATCCAGGCATTAGCATTACACCCCATATGGGAGCACTTCAGCAATCCCTACCATGCCTGTTCAACAATGGGGACAGTAAGATCAATGAACAGAGCACCTTCAGCATTACCTTGTCCAAAGACTTTCTCCATGACCTTCCTAATTGATGAAAAAGCAATGCCTGCATGCACAGGAATTATCCGTATCTTCTATAAATGGTAAAGAAACATATTATACCTAACACATTGAAAGATGGAAGAAGCTAAGAGAATATGCATGATGGGCTAATGCCCAACCTGAGCAACAAGCATTTGACTGCTTCTAATCATGCAACCCCAACCAGAATCACTGGTATACTTGGATTCACCTATGGGAGGAAATCCTGATAAGTCACACTCACAAAGATATAGACCACATTAGCTCCTGTACAAAAACAAAACAAAAAAAATACTGTTCTCATCTCAATTGGATAAGATTAAAAAACAAAAGCATCACCTTTTCGATACGTGATAAAGATTCTAGATGAGAAATCTTCTACAAAAGAAGCATATCCCTCAGTCTGGGTCGGATCAACAGAATGATCATCATCTTGAGCTACTCTATAGCAACTTCCCAGAAGCCAAATTTCACTCTTGGACCCAGAGGGAATCCCAGTTCTGGTGAATCCCAAAATTCTCCTCATTGAGCTACCACTGACAAATCTCCTCAAAGTTGTTGTCCATCCATTAGCGTTATTCTTCAAGCTCGAACTGCCTCTCCAGGGAAACCCTTTTGGGTGCTCACCTGAAAAACTACCAAAGGCTGAGAAAGCGGGTGTCCAGAAACCTGCTGAAGAACAAGACGGTTTATGATCTTCTGGTTCAGTCGAAGACGAAGAAGCAGAGCCCAAACCCGAACCCGAAATCCTCTTCGACGACTCGGAATTGGAGGAAATCGCAGGGCTTGTTTCCAACAGATTATTTTTCGGCATCAAATTGATCACCGTGCCCCGAGCACATTAATGCAGCATTATTATTAGGAAGCACTCGGTTAATCACCGTTTGGGAATACGGATTACGGAGGAGTCTACTCCGTGACCGTGAGAATATCCACCAGCTCCCAACGTCCTCAAAATTCATCTTTTCCTTTTTTAACATTATTCATCATTTTTAAATACAAAACATATACAAATTTAATACAACTTTTATTTTAAGAAAAAAAAGATAAACAATATTAAAAAATAAAAAAGAATTCTAATAGTTAAAAAAATTTAAAAAATCTAATATAACATTAAAATACGAAATATTACATAAATAAAAAGAGAAATTTAACATGCTTAAAATTAAATTACAAAAACTAAAAATAGAGAAAAAGTATTTTGAGTGAGATGACAATGAATTAGGAGGGATAAGACTGTTGAATTGAAGTTGAAGATGTGTCGAAAATTGAAAAAAAATTGGGGAGGGGGGGGGGGGGGTTATCGGGCGGACCATCAGAATGGACGGCTGCCGCAATTTTTCACTGGAAACTCAGCGCGACTTTGTGCTGAAAGTGGGGCGTGCGCTGCGGTTTCTTCTGCAATGGTTGTGTGGCGCGGCATGGGGAGGCGTGCAGCGATTCACTTTATAAGTTCCCTAAGGAACTAAAAAGTAGGGGTGTGCATAATTTGGTAAACCGACCGAACCGAACCGAAACCGAAAAATTTGGTACGTACCGAAACCGAATCAAATATTTCGGTTCGGTATTCGGTTCTCATATTTTGAAAAAATCGGTTTTCGATTCAGTACAAAATTTGGAACCGGTATTTTGGTAAAAACCGAATACCGAAATTATTTAATACTTATTTATAATTTTACCCATTACTACTCAATTCAATACCCAATATCTATCCCAATATTGAAATAATGAATATCCACCCCACTAATTTTAAGTCCTATTATCTAAATTTGGAGTTATTTAAGATTGGAAATCATGAAAGCATCAAATAATAATACTGGTAAATGTTTTATATATTTCGAAATGGACAATTGTGTTATTTGTATCAACTATTTTGTTTAATTTATGTAATGGTACTAATTGTGCTGCGTTATTTTAATTTTGGACTGTGTAATGAACTTATATATAATGGATTATGCTTTGTTATTTTCAATTTGGAGAATGAAATGGATTTTTTAAAGTTCAAATTTTGGTTTATGTTCGGTTTTTGGTAAAACCGATTTAATTTGGTTTTTACCGAACCGAACCATTTGATTTCAGTTCGGTATTTGGTACAAAAAATAAATTACCGAAATTTCGGTTTACCAAATTTTCGGTTCGGTTCGGTTCGGTTTTACCGAATGAACACCCCTACTAAAAAGGGACAAATATTTTTTGTTCCTCCTGTGTTTTGGAAAATTGGCACTAATACCTCATCTGTTTTTTAAAATTTATTTCTAATGTGTTCGTGGTTTTAAAACGTTGCGCCCACACCCCTTTGATCATTTTCCAATAAAGAAGGGACATTGGTACCTATTTTCTAAACCAAAAGGACACTCATGCTCATTTCGTACTTTTTGTTGAATATTTGATTATTTTTTACTCTTTTTTATCTTTGTTTCCTTTTCTTAAAAAGTTTTATATATTTCTTTTCAATTTTTTAGTACTATTCTATAATAGAATTTAGGATGAGTGTGGATAACTAAATTGGGTCATAAGTCACTTGGGTCAAACCACATTAAAAGATTGAATCTAATCAATTAATTAGTTCAACTCATTATTTTACTCTTGAACTTCCGATGTGGAATGTACTCTAACACTCCCCCTCTAATGGACAACCAGAACATTTTGAATCTAACCGGTTGACCACTTGCAAATGAACTCTCATTCCCTTGATTTTTTTTAGCGCCAACACCTAAAGGACCACGAGCCGCTGGGTATGGACTTCAAGACGAGCAATTGTGTTAAACGACCATAGGCCATTGGGTACATACTTCATACGGACAACTGGACTAAAAACTAACGGGCCGCTAGGAATGAACGTCTAGACGGACACCTTGACAAACGAGATGGGCCAAAACATGCTTTGATACCATGATAAAATCTAGGATGGGGTTTGGATAATTGGATTGGGTCATAAGTCACTTTGGTCGAATCACATTAAAAGATTGAATCCAATCGATTAGTTAGTTCAACTCTAGAGTTAATATACCGATCATATTACTCTTGAACTTCCGATGAGGAATGCACTCTAACATTTTAAAAAATCAAAATTCTTGGTGTTTGAAATAAAAACAAAAACTAACTTATACTCCATCCATCTCAAATTAACAAATTTCACTTTTTGTTTTCTAAAATATTTATTTTGTAAGTTCAAAAAGAAAATCCATTATAAAAAATAAAAATAAAAATATGGAAAAACAAAATGAAAAATTTTGAAACATGCAAAAATGATTTTTGTATAAAAAGGAATTTTCAGAATGCCTAAAAAGTCATTAGAATTGGGATGTCCAAAAAGAATATTCATTTTTATTTTTTGTATTAATTTATTTCCTATTTTATTCCTCATTTTTTGAAGTTCTCAAAAAAATTAATTTTTTGTATATCGAAAAGCAAAAATAAAATTTGTTAATTTGATGCGTATAAATGCAGTACATGTTAATTATTATTTATTCCAGTGTTGATATTGATCATAGACGAGGACTTTTTATTATTATTTAAAACCAAAACTAACTTAGGTGAGAAATTATTCAAATATTATTATTGTGCCCTTTAATTTCTTAATAAAGTAATTGTATTTTCTTCTTTCCTTTCATTATTTTCTTTTTATGTTATTATGAATGATCTTTTTTGAATTTTTGAATCATGTTTTGACCCTAACGATGTGATAGCAAGCAATTATTGATCCATGAGTTCTAATTATTGTTTGTATTCAATTTAAAGTATGTGTCTATAAGATGTGCAAAACCTGAGGCATTTAGGCAAATGATATTCCAAAAATCATTTTTCCTTAAAGTTGAAGTCAAAGAATCTCGATTGTGAGACATTGAGCCTTCGTTTGATGTGATTGACATTTATTTTTATGACTGGATCGTTAAACAGTTTGAACAATTGTACTCTATTTTTTCTCATCCCGGGTTTGAATTTGTATATGAGAAATTCTCTATTAGTCCTATTTATGCAATGTTTCTTGAGCGTATTCATGCTCCTCACTTTCTGAATAAAATTGTTCATCCTTTAAAAAATTAATCATATTTTTTTATTTAGTCTTTCCAAATCTTATTATACTTTTTTGGAATTCTCTTATTGAGGCTGGAAATTCAAGATCTATATTTTGTGTTTCAAGTTTGAATGTTGGGTTCCTTAGACCATATATCTACTTGAATAAAAGATTACTTTTGAGTATTTTAACCATGGTGAAGTTTTGTGGATGGTCATTATGTGAATGGGAAGTCTGAAGTAATCACAGTGACTGACCTTAATATATCATTGATAAGTCTGTTATATCTGCATGTGTTGTTATATATTGTTATACTTATTGGCTTTGTGCTTAGACTAAATTTCATATTGTTCATTAGCTATATGAATTTTGAATAATTTGTGTTTATGGTTTGATTTTAGTCTAATTATTAAAAAAGGACCAATTAGCAAACATATTAGCAAGATGGGGGCCAATTTATAATATTGATAAATAAGTGTTTTATTGTTGATAATAGAGGCTCGCATTTTTTAGAGGAAGGGATCGAACGAGAGAAGAAGGGGGATTTTTATCAGAACCAAATAAGAGACGGACGACTTCAATCAGGAATAAAAAACAGACTCCAGGGCTAGGAGCGGAATTGGAGCGGACGACAACAGAGCTTGTTCTCTACCATCGTGCATTAGACGGACAAGGAAGAGGCTAATCATCATCGTCGATCTCGAATCTCCAGAGAGCTCCATCTCCAGCCATAGTGACGATCTCGAATAACCAAGCAGCTTGTGGTTCCAATTTCTTCATCCCTTTTGTGTTTAGTATTATAATATTTGTTTTCCAATATTTCCTTTAAATTTGTTCACTTGCCAAATTACTTCCTTTTAATATATGGTAGTTTATGAATTGGTTTAATTTGCCTACTTTTTTGTGTGCACCAAACAAAGTATAATTTTGTAATGAGTTTTAAATCATCAAGGAATTGAGTTTTAAAATTTTAGCCATTTGTTGTTTTCACTCTTAAATTCCTCCCATGGAAGTGGTTAAGGAATTTGAGGAGTCTTGCTTTGCTTGGGTATTGTATTAGTTGGACCACCAAGGAATTGGGGACCAACTTAAATGATTTAATCTTAATACTATGGAAGTGGAATAAGGATTGTTGTTAGACTCACTACTTGGTTAATTCTCCAAATAATTCTCTTTCCTTTTTAAGCATATCTGTTGGACATTAGTTCAAACCCTTTAAATAATTTTTTGTGTGTTGTTATTTTCAGGTTTTGATAAATGACAAACGCATCGACAATGAGTTGTTTTGACCATTTAATCAAGAAAGCAAAGAAGTATATCAAGAAATATAAGTCGTTCGATGAGCGTTCCATCCCTTCGCATTTTTGAAGTGAACTAAAGATTTCCGAAGATTTTTTATTTTACTTGAGTCTTAGGAAATATTGTACGGATGAAAAAATATTTTTACTAAAACAAACTATTTTTGAGGGAAATAGATAAAAATTATTTTTCTTATTAAGCCAGTTGAAAAATAAAATTTTCTCTGTTTAAAATATCTCTATTGAGTTAATTACAAAAAGTGTGTCAAAATTTTCTTAAAATATTATTTTAAGATAAACGTAATTTTTGCATAAGAAAATATCTTTTAAAACATTTTTCTTGTACATCGTTTGACACACAAAACATTTTTCTTGTACATCGTTTGGAAAGAGTTTGTGCGCTCCTCCCTCAATCGTATTGAGAATGCCTGGAAAAATTGGGCATATACAATATGTACATTATTAGCACAATATCTATTATTTTTAATTCTAAAATGCTAACGCTAAAGGCTATCGTCGGATAGCATTTTCAAAACGCTAACGCTGATGCCAAATGGGACCTAAAGCTAATAAGGTGTGTGTATCTTGACATCTTGTTGTTTATGGAAAGGTGCGTGCTCATGGCTAGTGATATCTTATAAGAGAAAATACATTGAAAGGAAAGAAATTGAGTGGGTTTTACTTGGATAATTTACATAAATGACATAAAACATAGCTTGTTTATGTATATAGTACCATACAATTGGTTTTCATAACTAATACTTTCTCTGTCCCTAAGTATTTGAATAACGTCTAGTGAGGGGAAAAATGTTCAGTAATAATGTTGGATATATTTAGTTTGAGCAATGTCCAGTGGTGGTGAACAATTGCTTGAATAATGACCAGTGGACATTGAACGACGATATTACATTAAGAAACAAAAACATAGGAGTACTACATTAAGAAAGTCGCAAATCGCAATATTTTTGTGCTAAAAGGTAAGTTTTTCTTTGTAATAACTCTTTGTGTGTAAGGATACAGGGTGACTTCTCTAAGGACTAAATTGAAATTATACCATGATTTATCTCTCTCACAATCTTATCGAGTTGGTGTATGGGGACGCCAAAAGAAAATGACGAGGAAAAGAAAAGGTGGTGAAAATGCAAAAAGGAGTAGGGGGTGTAATTAGGATGACTAAGGCCCCGTTCCGTTCAACTTATTTTTTCTTATTCTTATTAAAATTAGATCAGATCAGATCAGATCGAATCAGATTAGATCACATCTAATCAGATCAGATCAGTCAGATCCCATCAAGAATTATTATTATTATTATTATTATTATTATTATTATTATTATTGTTATTATTATTATTATTCTTAAAAATGAAAAACAATAAACTTTAAAACAAGTTAAATAGAAAACCGAGAAAGTAATCCTTAATTATTAGACGTCGGAAAAATTATTTTTAAAATACATTGACAATGTCAATCTAATTTTTACTTTTAAAATACATTTTTATTACTACCTGCAATTTGAGTTTCTAAAGTTTTGATCTTTTGTAAGGATGAGATATTTTAATAAAATACTATCTCTTATATATATTGATTATCTAAATTTAATTACTTTTTAATGTATATATAAATTAAATATTTATTCTAATGTATATATGAAGTAATTATTAAAATATTAAATTAATATTCTAACTTCACAAAAAAATAATCATAAAATAAAAAACATTATTACATTATAATATTAATGATTATTTTAATATATGAATTAACTAATTTTATTTTATTAAAAAATATTCATAAAATAAAAAATATTGATTATATTAAAAAATGAATTATCACTACAATTTTCAAACGTTATTGATTATATTAAAAATTCAAATTATTGATTTGAATTTTAAATCAAATCATAATTAATCACATCAGATCAGACCAGATCAGATTTGATCAGATCCAATCAGATCAAATCAGATCCAATCAGATCAAATCAGATCCAATCAGATCAGATCAGATCCAATCAGATCAGAACTTATTAAAATCAGATAGAAAAAATAAGTAGAACAGAATGGAGCTTAAGGCGGCGCTACATTACAAATGTGAGGCGGGACAAGATTTTAAAAGATCAAAGAGAAGCCAATGACATTCGATCCTTAGTCAACATTTTATTGCTTGTAGAGTTGCGGGCCAGCCTAACCAAACTAGTCCCTCACATATCCCCATAATAGATGTCCCCATGGTTGATTTATTTGCTCGGAGGAAGGATATCTTGATGGTGTGGAGTGAAAATGTCTATAACTAATTTTTTTGGTTAAAATTTTTAGGCTTTAATTTTAAAATAATTAAAAATAATATTAGATATTGATACCAAAATAGTACTATCCAATTAGTATACAATACATAAACGGTTGATCGAAAAAAGTCAAAACTGGACAAATACTCAGGGACGGAGGTAGTAGTTCTTTGTGCGCATCGGGTACGAAGTAGTCTCTCTAAAGATCATATTAAGATTATACCATGCATTACATTCTCACTGTCTTGAGGGTCTAGCTTGTATTCTAAGCTTAAGCTTCCCAATCGAGTTGTATTCTTCATTTCTTCTTTAATAATATAAATATATATATATATATATATATATACACACACACACACACACACACACACACACACACACACACACACACACCAACTTATAAGTGTGGTATACAACTCGAAATGTCCCTCACTATCGAACTTCAATTCAACCGCACTCGTGGAGCGTGAATGTCAAAAGCCAAAAGTTCACCCATGGATGATGCATATATTTATAAGTACGCTTTGCACTAAATAGCAATAAAACTTAAGTCATTTCCCTAAATAGCACTTAAACTGTTTTATTCCTAAATAGCACTTAATAATGTCCAGTGAAGGCGAATATTTGTTTGAATAATGACTAATGCATAATGACTAAAAGTGCTACATTGGGAAGAAAAACACAAGTGGTGTTATTTAGAGAAAATCATTATGTTTTAGTGCTATTTATGTAAATTCCTCATAAAATTATGGTAGAAATGGAAGTTTATTTATTTGTTTTACTCTCTTTCTATTTAAAGATGATTAGACCTTTGTAATATCATAAGACAACTCAATATACGGAATATTTTCTCTCTTTTTGTTTTCTACATGGTATCAGAACAGGTTTTCGAGTTTTGAGATCTCAAATAGGCTTCCACTCTCCAGCCGGCACTACAAGAAAGTTGGTATTTCGGCGCACTTAAAATTTCTCAATTTTTTTTGCCACACTTATAAATGTGGAAAATATATATAACTGGTGAGCTTTGCGTCATCTCACCAAAGCATGTCATCTCACCATAAGGTGCCATCTAACTGGAGTCAATCCTATAAGATATTTTATTAAAATGCAAAATAAAGAAGAGTACAAAGAAGGGAGGACTAGGCCAATGCCCCTCTAAAATTGCATGAAATGAAAAGACGACTGGAAAATAAAAGGGAAGTGAATGGAATCAGCATGAGAAAGATCATTCCCAGATTATAAAACCCGGGTGTTGATCGAGAGAGAGATTTCTAGGCATTATTTTCTTTGGTCTTTTCCCATCAGTGCATATTGGACCAACGGGACCAACATACCAAAAGGGTCCAGAGTAACTTTTGGTAGTAACTATTTTCTCCATAGTAGTAGATTTGCGACTGGGCAGTATCTCGTGATCTCGCTCACAATCCCGACTTCGAGATTAGGATCATAGCCTCTTGTTTTAATGGTCCTTGGCATAACTTGCTTCTTTTTACCTCTTCTATTCTGGACTTCTTGGAAGTCATGAGCTGTGAGGTTTTCATCATTGTGGTTTGACGTTTGTCCTTCCTCCATGTAAGACCTAATTTCATAATGTTGCCCTTCATGCTCAAAAGAGTGGAGGATCGGTCCAATGTTGACAGGGTTAACATCTGAATTGTTTGGTGTTGTGTTTTCCTTTGTTGTATCTTCAGCCATCAGAGTAAGAGTGTCATCCTTCTCCATCTCGGTTGGAGTGTGTACAACCGCCTCCCCATTCCCTGTTGTGTCATCTTTCTCCATCTCGGTTGGAGTGTGTACAACCGCCTCCACATTTGGATTGTGTACATCCTCTTCCATGTTCTGTCTTGTGAGTACTGGAAATTCATCCAAGTTGATTGTATTTTCTACATAGTTAGCATTTTGTGCAGTCTTACCATCCATGCTTTCCTCAATTGATTGTTCTTGTGTATATTCCAAATCTGCTTCCTTAGTCTGATTTTCCATTTCATATTGGGCTCTCACAGAACCCAATAAGTGCTCATCCTTGGTGTCTTTTGTAGTGTTGAAGTCAAAACAGTTTGTGATATCCTTAGCTTCTGGTTGCTCATCTACCTGTTTTAAGCCATCCACAGAATCTGATGGGTACTGCCTGAGAGCAGTAACATGAGGAGAAGTGGAAATGTCTGTTGGTGCAGGAGTGACTATTGGAAGTGCCACCCTGGGGTCGGTTGCTTGATGTGTATCCAGATTTATCACCATATCAACATCGCTAAAAGCTTCCTTGGGATCTGTTGTAAGCTGCTGTTCAAATTTGGTGTCTTGTTGCAGGGGTTTAGAAGCCCTAGGTGTTGGAAAACATTTTCACTTTGACATTTTGCTAATGACAATGTTTGTTTCCGTTTAGGTTTTGATATTGACAAACCGTCGGGAACATGGAACAAAATGAAAAGATAGAAAAAGTTCTTTGAAGAAAAAAAAAGCACAAGAACGGCATTGACGTTGCTAAAGATGGCGACATTGGCGCTTTGAAGACGTATTCTAAAGACTTAGATTTTATTGTAACAAGCTCATTCAATTTCTCTACGTCATGGCTCAAAACAAAATATGTTTTTCATGCATCAAATTAGTGTTTTCATAAATAGTTTTTAAGTTTCTAAAACCCATGGTACTTGCTTAACCAAAACCGTAACCATCGGTTATCGGCGTTCGGCTATGGCGTTCGATTTTCGGCATTGGTTATTGGCATTGATTTTAACCAAATGGTTTTTGGGTTTTTATCTTTGGTTTATGCTTCTGGACACATTTAAAGGTTTTCCAAATGATTAGTTTTCAAAAACCATAACCTTTGTTTTTCGGCGTTGGTTATCGGCATTCGGTGCCGGTTATCGGTGTTGGTTTTTGGTGCCCAAATCAATCAAGTGATTTTTAAGATTTTATGATTGGTTTTTACTTCTGGGCATATTTAAATAGTTCTCCAACAAAAACGCCTCAAAAACCACCTTCCGTTTTTGGTCGTTTAGTGAAAACCATGTGAAACGGCGCGAACTCGGCTAGCCGTGGTTTTCAACTAAATAACGTGATTTTTAAGATGTTTTACTTGATTTCTTAGCAAAATGCAATAAAAAAATGTTTTCTAAACTTGGTTTTTATTTTGGAGAACTTGCATTTTTGACATCGGCTAACGGCGTGACTAAACCAACCATGGGTCTGGCTAAACCAGCCCAACAACGATGTTGAGGTAATCAACAGCGCTGTCTGGCCTGGGTAGCTGAAAACCATGGTTTGGCGCTAAGTCTTCCAACAGCGATGTTGGATGTTAGACATCGCTGTTGAGCCATGGTTGGATTTCCAGAAACTTCTGAAACAGCGATGTAGGCTCCCCTACAGCGCTGTCCAACCTAAGCCAAAAATATAGTGCATTGGCAGAAAGTTTTTGGACAGCGATGTTGACCCAGCAACAGCGCTGTCAGGCCAAAATTCCATCTCCAAAGGCAGACCTAAACAGCGATGTTCTAGTATAGAACATGGATGTAGAGACCTGACCGTTGGAAGGAATTTAAGGCTAAAATTTTCCTTGTTTGGAAGTCAACAGCCAAAACAGCGATGTAGGGACTTTAGACATCGCTGTTGGCATGACCGTTGCTTCCCATTTTTCAAACCGCAAGCCTAGAACAGCGATGTCCAGGCCTAGGACAGCGCTGTCTGGGTGATTTTCAACTAATCCAAATTTCATCAAATCCCACAAATTATGCCAATCACCCCTTAAATACTTTGGTCCGTTGGAGCCTATTTTTCTACTATAAAATGAGGTGTTTGGGTCTGGTTTAAACATAACATTACTTCACAACTCCTACTCTTTCATTGCAAATCATTCTTTAATTATTCATAGCTTTTGAGAGCCATTTTTGTGAAGCTTGTGTTGTGTTCTTGAGCGTTCTTAGTTTACTCAATATCCACTCTAAAAAGAGAGTATTGTTCTTGAGTGTTTTTAGTGTTCTCAGACACTTGACAAGAGAAGGTATTTCTCTTGTTGTTCGAAGGAAGGGTTGTTTCCTTCGAAGGTTCGTTGAGGTTCGTGTGACTCGAATTCTCAAGTTGTACGGGTTTGTTAAGAACCGTTAAGCTTAACGAGATAGTAGTGTAGCTCGAGAGAGTCTCTCGGGAGGCTGGATTAGCCACAAGTTGTGGTGAACCAGGGTAAAATCGGTGCGCCTCTTTCTTTTCTCTTTACTTCTCGCTTATTCATTTTTATTCCTGCGATTTCTTGATCAAACGCTATTCACCCCCCCTCTAGCGTTGGTCTATTATTCTAACACTAGGTTGGCTAATACCTTGGGCATTCACATTGGTTTTTGTGGCATCTCTACGAGTCCATCTAGATGATCGAACCCCTTCTTTGCAGTTTGTGTGACCAAATTGCTTGCAGCACGAGCAGAAATCTGGCAGATCTTCGTAGTAAATGGGTTGAAAAAAAGAGAGTTTGCCTATGTGTATCCATATAGCCTTTGGTATCTCTTTAGAAAGATCAAGTTCAACACAAAGCCGAGCCACAGAAGGTCTAGAAAGGTTTTTGGTTGCAGTATCTGTACGCAGAGGTCTCCCTATAAGATTTGCAATCGAGTAGAGAGCTGATGAATCAAAAAGATGGATTGGCAGTCCTTCGAGACCAATCCAAATCGGAATTAGTGGTGATTCTGTTTCCGCATCATAGTTTGGTGTCCATCTGAAAACCTTCATAATACATCCATCCAATTTCCATGATTTGCGCAACAAACATCTCAAAAAATCCTTGTCCGATGAAAAGTTTATCAAAATATTGTGTTCATCAATAAGGGAAACAGAGAAACTGGATTCAAAGTATATTTTTTCCAAAAGAAGACGGATCCGTGCCAGCGCCGGCCTCACAGAGCTAAAACGTCCAACAATAGCTTTAGAGAAGCGTGCAGACAATACCTGAATTTCGTCTTCAGAGAAAACGATTGATGGTAACCCTTTGTATCTCGTTGGCGATTTGAAGATTCCTGAAGCTGCGATTTCTGCAAACGCACTTGTACCATTCGTTGTAGCCATAGAGGATGAGAATTGGTAGTCGCCGCCATCGGCGGCGACCAGAACCTAGTGAGAGAGACGCTGCATCTTATATATATATATATATATATATATATATATATATGTATATGTATATATATATATATATGTATATATATATATATATATATATATATATATATATATATATATATATATAAAGCTATGGTGGAATTTCAGATACTCAGATAGCAAGTGGGCCACTTTCATGAGAAACAAGTATGACAGCTATAATTATGAGGAAAAACTCACAGATTCTCCTACTAGAAAGAGAATTTGCAGAATTCACTTAAAGGCTGAAGAAATTTTTGAAGACATGCTACCAGATCATGATGAGGTAGTTAAAATTACTATTAAACAGGCCTATGAAAGTTGCAGACCACAAGCCACCATTACGCATAGTAACAAGTACAGCTGGAATAGAATGCAAATCTCAAAGGTCAAACTTTTCCTCTGGAAGGTCAACAGTGATATCCTACCTTTCCCAAATGTACTCACTAGAATTACAGTCAGCCTACCCTCTCAATGTCCTTTTTGTAAAAAAGAAGAAGGAACTACTGACCATTGTTTGCTACAATGCAATATCATCAAAGACATCTGGGAAGAATATGCTCAACTTACAGGGGGTCCACGCATCAAACCAAGGATCAGCATCAAGCAACATCTACTAGAGTGGCACTTCAGCTCTGAATCCATAACACTTTCTGGAAACTTGAAATTGGTACTTCCGGCAGTAATTGCTTGGAGCATTTGGAAACAATACGCAGCTATTAGATTTGGAAACGAAGAATTTAACATCCAAACTATAAAATCACACATTAGAAATAATATCAACCTGTGGTGTTGGAAACATCGCCATAAAGGTTGGATGATTCACGATGACAATCTCACCAGGGCTGGGCTACAAATGTTTGCACTTAACGGAAAGGCAATTCCAGGAGCAAGAAGATGACGAAGGTGGAGCCTAGTGACTGAAGGGGGGAATCGTTCTCTGCGAAGGATTGTAATAGCTTGGATTTATCCGTTTCCCCAAAGTCAGGATATTGGTTCGGGTCCTTTTGATTTATTCCTTTTTTATTGTGTTTTAACCTTTGAGGCTTCGATCAAGCCCTCCTCGAACGTGTACGGATCTCGTTTTTAATAAAATCGGTAAGGAAGCCTGAACCTTACCCCACCGACTTTGGTGGTTTCTTTTCGGGTATATATATATATATATATATATATATATATATATATATATATAGGGGCCGGTTCAAGTGAGAATGCACCTTGGTGAAAGAAATAAGAATAAAATCTAGCTTTGGATCTGATGCATCGTGCGGCTCAGATTGCATTCTGCACTCAAATTTTGAGATAGTGCATTTTTAAAGGAATATGGTACATTTCGACATGATGCATTTTCAAACCATTTTGGTGCACCTAATTTTGATGTAATCCTGACCCTTAGATCTCACAATCTAAAGCACCAGATTCATTCTCATTTCTTTCATAAGATCGCATTCTCACCTGAACCTATATATATATTCTAAGGTTTCTCTTTAGGGTTGTAAGGGTGGGAAGCTTAAGCATCATAGGGTGAGCTGGACTAAGGTTTCTCTTCCATTGGAACTAGGTAGGCTGGGAATTCGGGAACTCCACAACATTCAACAAGCTTACTCCTTTAAACTGTGGTGGAAGGTGAACAGTGATAACAGCCTCTAGAGTGATATCATGAGGGAGAAGTATCTACGTACGAACGTCTTCAAAGAAAGGATCACAGACTCACCAGTTTGGAAACGTATCGCAAGGGTACATTCCCAAGCTATGGAGCTCTTATCTATGAACAATGGCAGGTAAACATGGCAGGATGGAGAGTACACAATTAAGTCAGCATACTACAGCACTCTCCTAGTCATGGCCTCTCAATTATCATGCAGGTTCATTTGGCACAAACTGCAAGTCCCAAACATCAAGTTATTTCTTTGGAAAGTCTTCCACAACTCTCTCCCATTCACTGCCAATCTATGCAGGATCTTAATGCCAGATAGAGGACTTTGTCTTCTTTGCAAGCAAGCTGAATATGGTCTTGATCATACCCTCATTCACTGCCCATTGTCTACCAACATCTGGACACATTTTAGCCACATGCATGGAGGCTCCCTTCCTAGGAAGGAAATCTCCATTACTCAACATTTACTAGCTTGGTGGTATGGTTCTAGAGGACAATCATTTCAAGATCATCTCCAAATGGTTCTCCATGGTTTCATAGCCTGGTCACTTTGGAAATGTCACACCTCTTCCCTTTATGACAATAGTAAGCTATCCCTTCTAGGTGTGGATAAAATGGTATCCAACCTCATCCAAAAATGGTGTTGGAACAACGAGAACAAGAGATGGATGACCAAAGGAAAAGAGAATTCTAACTTGGGTTGTAGTTTCTTTTGGTTTAATGATAATAGACTCCGACTGGGGCTTGTTTAGCTTTTGCCTTTTTCTCTTTTTCTGTTGGGACTTTGGTCTAGTCCTCCCTGACGGAGTTGTATTCTTCATTTCTTCTTCAATAATATATATATATATATATATATATATATATATATATATATATATAGATATAGAAATTTATCTAAATAGGACTAAAACATAATGACTTTCCCAATATAGGACCATATGTTTTTATTTCCCAATGTAGGACTTTTGGTCATTAACAAGTAGTCATTATTCAAGTAAATATCTAGCATTACTGACATTATTCCTCCCACGAGGTCATTATTAAGTCATATTTAGGGAATAAAAAAGTTTAAGTCCTATATTAGGAAAGTCATTATGTTTTAGTCCTATTTAGTGCAAATTTCACACACACACACACAGATATGTATATATATATATATATATATATATACACACACACACACACACACACATATATATATACATATATATATACACACACACACACACACACATATATATATAGGTTCTGGTGAGAATAAGATCTAATCAAAGAAATAAGAATGTGTTGCAACCGTTGGATTGATTGGTCGATTATTATGACTCTCGCCGAGTTTGATGGGCATTTTGGGGAAATCAATATTCAAGCGTAGATCTTATAATCACGATCCAATAATTCATGATCATTGTTTCCTATCTCTTCGCTTGCTATTTTTCTGCATGATTGAGATCTTTCCGCGGGTCATCTCAGATGATCCTCTTCCCCTTCAAAGTTGGGTTTCTTTTCAAGTGTTCAGGTGGCTTGAGCAACTAGTTTTCAGCCAATTATAGGATTCAATCATTAAATCTTATCATGTAAGTATTTTTCTTACTTTTTTATTTGTTTTTTCTATTATTTGAAATAAGTAATATCTGATTCAACACCGATGTGGTTGATTTCTAATATATTTCTTCTTCCCTTCATCTGATTTTGAGTTCTAAATCATTTATGTATTGCTTAATCATCCATAAAAAAGTGCTCAATGATTCCCCAAATCTTTTATACTGGATTTCATTTGCTTGCTGGTTTTTAATTCTCTTGGGCTAGATGATGGATATTTCTATTAATTGCGATTGATTTGTGTCTTGAATTAGGGTGGAAGGATTAAATTTTATTGAAACTATGAGTGTCGTTTTTAATGGATTAAGGTTGAATATATTTTGCGGTTCTTCATTATTTTACTATATTGTTTCATTATTTTCTAGTGTGAACTATTTAATTCACGAGATGTCATTTTTCGAGCCTTGTAATGCACTCAGTGATGCTGGTACTGCATATATGAAAAAAATAAAAAGCACTGACTAATTTTGTTACCATTTTTTGCTGCGTAAAAATTATCATAATTCATCAATGCTTCAGTTTTTTAGGAATTAGCTTCTTCATTTAATTCAGGCATTCAGCAGTCGGGGCTTAATTTAGTGAATTCCTTTTTCTCTCTACTAGGATAACGTTGAAGATGCACCTATTTGGTTGTGTGTTACTTTCAAGAATGTTTATGCTAGAAATCACCTTATATTAATCTGTTGCTTTCAAGAATTTTACCAATAGCACTAGAATGACAATGTTCCAAAATTGCAGTACTAGTCTAATACCAATCAATAAGAAAATGAGAATCAAAAGAGACATAATTGACTAATACCAATAAGGAATAATCAATAATTTTTCGATTGCTTTATTGCTTTTGTATTTAATAACTGGTTCAATAACAAGAAATTGCTCCACTTGCACTAATGTAGATACAAGGTTGATGATGATGAATAAAATAGGTGCATGAACTACATTGCATGTGGTAGAAGAGGATGTTTGACAAACAGCTTTTTGGGCTTAAGGGGCTATTGCATGTGGTAGAAGAGGATGTTTGACAAACAGCTTTTTGGGCTTAAGGGGCTCTAGGGCTCTTTGGAAGTCATTTTCGTACATTTTAAAATATAGTTCCAACTTCAATCTATCTTCACACTTTATATTTGGACACTTCACATGATGTTGAATGAAAAAAGTTGTGCTGAAAGTACAAAATAAATCTTGGGTGTGATATTAAAAGTATAGAAGAAGCTTTGTGATTTTGTTTGTTTGCTTTATAATGGTTAACTCTTGGTTGTGATATTTCTTATGCATTTAGTTATTTGTATGTGTCACAAGTTACACTACTATTTCTAGCTGTTTTACAGATTTCCATTTATGTTTATATATTAAATGATATTCACAGTGATGCATTCTTCTATTGATGACACTGCGTCATGCAGTTACAAATGCTTTCGATCAGTGGTTTAGTTTGGTATGCAGACACAAAAATGCGGAAGAAAACCAAGTGTTTGTGTAGAACATAACATTTTAATAAGAATTACTGATTACCATATGAACATTGCTAATTGTAGCGAGTAATTTTAATCTTTTTAGTGGTATTTATGCTTTTGAATATTATCTTTTATAAGATTATTATGTTCGTTAAGTATTTTGTAACGGTATTACTACCGCTCTCTGTTTCTAAAGTGATAGCTCCATCGTATAATTTAAAATTGATGCATTTGCAAATAATATGACATATCATATGCTATCTATTGCTTTACACGTGCATCATCCTTAGAGACAATGATAAATGCATACGAATAGGATAATGATTTTGTATCAAACATCCATAATAGAATTATTCTTGTTCGCTTAAGACCCCCACACACACATTATAGCAGATCCTTCCTTCATCAAGATGATCAATGTACAAAGAATGCATAGTCTATTGACGTAAATGTACAATGCACTTAATATAATGCACCTGACACATCATGTTGTGTAACGCCACGACCCGGATACCCAAATTTATTCGAATATCCGACTCGCGGTGTTAACGGGTCTAACCTTTTTGAATCGGAAAATGGAGCATTAAACAAAACTTATTTATTTATTGATAATATCAGAGTAACTATTATACATGCGGAAGCTTAACATATTCGTACAAAATATTCATTTCAAAAATAACATCTTTATTATTGTTATCGTTCTTTATGTCATCTCGTCCATCCTTTCATTGCCTTAGCATTGTCCTCCGGTTCGGTCACTATTTTGTTTGTGTACCTAAAAAAATGGAGCCAACCCGATTAGCAAAAAGCTGAGTGGTACCAATTATAACAATAGGTACGAAATATAATAGCGTAAACATATACTTTTCTCAAAATTCTTTGCTTTGATAATATAAACATATTATTGTATAAAACTGTAGTATCAAGAAAATCAACTTTTCTTTTACTCTTTGTTTAACTAGGACTTCAAGTACTTCGGGTACAAGACGAGTCCATTATCTCTTTCTGGGACTTCAAGTACTTTGGGTACAAGACGAGTCCATTATCTCTTTCTGGGACTTCAAGTACTTTGGGTACAAGACGAGTCCATTGTGACGAGCTCGTACGTACGGCAATGGAGGGGTACTGGTTAACCCTGTGGAACCTTGTGAACCGTAGTTCACATACTAGAAATCGTTTGATAATTTTAGAAAATATAATTTGTATTCATTTGTATCCCATTAAAATCCATATTTCAAATTCAACTCATATTATACTTTTATATAAACAATTAATACGCAAATCTAATACTAAACATAGAGTATTTCAAAACCATCTTTTTCTCTTATTTGGGTAAAACTCAATAAGAACATCCTTTTTTTTATATAATAACTTATTAAAAACCTTATTGAGCTAATTCTAGAAAGTTTGGACGTAAAGCATGTCCGAAATAATTTGCGCTATTTTTTTTTCCGAATTCTAGTGACAGAAATTAAATAGAATATATACATGAAAATAATTTGCGCTATTTTCTGAATTCTTTTGATTTCAAAATAATCGAACTCGGACGAACGATCGTATAGTAGTCCTTTGATGGTTGTAGTCTTGTTTCGTATGTGGTGTTGGTAATTTTTTTAAGAATACTTATCTTGGTTTTTCTTATTTGTTCCACAGCTATGTATACTATATATATACTGAAGAATGAAATAGAAATACTTAGTTATTAAGGAATAAAAATACTTAGCTATTAAGGAATAGAAATACTTATCTATTAAGGAATGACTATGGGAATTAATTGGGTTCAATCTTGACCCTTGGCTTATCTGAAGATTTATGTCGGCCACAAAGGATTTGTCCTCTCCAATTATTTTATTACTTTCTAATTTTTATCTCTTGCATGTAAATTTTGATTTGATTTAAGTTTTATTTTGATAATATATTTTTTTGTTGATATTTCCGTGGTTAAAATGTCAATTTGAATCCGCTGGCATAAATATTAAAATTTAATACTTTAATTTTTAATCTAATCTGGTCCATGTATCATTTTAATTATTTTATTCATCGAAAATATCTAGACCGGTTTTTGGGGCGTTACATGTTATCTTATTTAGTGCATAAAACCTGTACCAATACAAAATCATGCCCAGTGCACTATAGTTTGTGCTTAAGTGAACTATTTCGAAAAAGTTAATCCACATCCAACTTTTTTACTAGAACACCAAAATAAATGAATGATAAAAATGTCAAAGACTCTTGCATCCGGGAAATTAATGCTCTTTTCGTAGCCAACTAAATTTTAAAATATGACTATGCGAATTTTACACATTATCTCTTTTTGCTTTCAAGTCTTCTCCTCACGCTCTGTACTCTCTACAATCATCCAAATTTTTGGCACATTTATTCTCTCTCTCTTGTCATGATTCTTAATTAATGCATTCTTTATGCGGCCACTCCTACAAATGGAAGATGATGTTTTGGCCTCTTAAGATTATTTTTAAGCATAACCAAAGTGTGTGAATTCCTTTTCTGCACTCTCATTATTCCCCCCACCTACAATATCAAAGATTAAAAACACATTATGCACCTACGAGTCGAACCTTTTTGTAATAACATAAAAAATAGGCATGAACATAGCATTATAGTTTTTCATTTACCAAAAATACAAATACCCGTCTTAGAATTTAGATCCACACCTCCACCAATGTCTAACTACCACTAGGGAAATGCACATACACACTATATGGTAAGTGAAATGCATCATGGAAGGTGATTGCAACAGAGGAAAACCAATTAAATGATCATGTAATGAACTTGTAACAATCTTATTTGGTGAAAAAACTAAATTCATAAAACAACATCATCTAATGTACTCACTGTCACGCTCATAAGAAACGTAATAGCACATCAATACCAAAGTCCTTTGAAACAAACACGAAACTATCAAATGCAGTACATTTCACACCAGATGCAACATAGTTAACTGGAAAACACAAAAAAATAACAAATTAACTCACGAGTTTTCAAGGAGTGAATTGAACTAAAATAACATCAATTTTGAAAAGAGAGTCTGATTCATGCAAGAATGCATTCATAATTAGTTCAATGTTTAATAAATTCATTCCTAGTGCAGCAAAAGGGTGCACAAATTTTATATGAAGCAAGTTAATATTCATGGTCTAAGAGCACATATTTTAAAATGCATACATATGCAATTAGATTATTCGCTCTGCATTTTCAGTTCTAGAAAATGAATTTAAAGTTCTAGACAATGCATAACATTCTATGGCCATAGATCTGCAGAACACCAAACCAATCTAACCTCTACAAGAAACAAGAAAACCCTTAAATTAAGAATGCAATAGCTCTACAAATCTGCAACACTTTTTTTCAATTAAATATTAACACATTCAAAATGCCATAACACCATCTCCTCGCACTAAACTATGGATACCAACAAGAATTTCAATTAAAGCAATAACAAAATATATCTGCGGAATTCTGCTTGACACTTTCCTGCCTCTTCACCGATGTTGCAGCGCCTCATTTTTTATTGCAATATTCCTCATTGGCGGAAAGGATTGTGTTCAAATCTGCTTTTGAGTTGTTTCTATGGTAAAAATGGAAAAATCCAGGTCTTTACGCTATTCGACAAGGAAAGTCGATGAAACCGGCAAGTGAATTGTTCTTTAAACGATCCAGAAAATTTTTCTAATTCCGGATGACACTTATGCCCCTCAAATTAGATTTGTTCCTATTTCAAAGCACGGCCATTCCTACTTTCCATTTTAGAGTTGATAAACTAATCTACTAAGAGTTTTGATCTGAGCCACACATTACACCTAATCTTGTGTCTATTATTTATTCTTATTTCTTTCATAGAGCATCATTTTCACATGAACCAACCCATATATATATATATGTGTGTGTGTGTGTGTGTGTGTTCTGGTGAGAATAAGATCTACCTAATTAAAGAAATTAAATAAGAATGAATCTGAATCCTTAGATGAGCAATTATCAGGGTTTTTTAAATTTTAATCAGGATGGGCATTCTTGGTATTTTCCGTGGTCTAAATTCCCTCTCACTTGTTCGACTTTATCACTTCCTTATATTTATGCCATCATCTTCTTTCTCTTCCATTATTAATTTTCTCTTCTTTGGAGAACACTGGTGAGGAGGAAGATGATAAATAGTCAAGATTTGGAGAACAACAGCCAGAGGAAACGAGGATCTTGATATTGAATCTAGCACCGAGATCTATGACACGAGTTTCTCCTCATATTCGTCGCAATGAAGTCTATGATTAAAGAAGCTATAGGTCAAATTTCTTTACATTTTCTAGGTATGTTTTCATCACAATTAGCGGTGGGATCAAATTTCTTTACATTTTCTAGGTAAGTTTTCATCACAATAAGGGATTTGTTGATCGGAAATTGAAGTGGATTGTGGTGGGGTTAAGCCGCCTAGCAGCGATTTGTTGTGCGAAGGGGCTGAGCTGCCTAGCCACGATGCATATAATGACATACATTGTAGTGCACTTCGTCTTCTTTAGTCTGCACACTCAAAAGCCAAACAAGTTTGATCTTTGAAAATTTTATGAAAAACGTTTTCATCTCATGATCCATATCCATCCTCTCTTCTTTATTTTTCTTTTAATTTTAAAGCTTTTGGTACTACAAGTTTGATTTATTACTCCATTTTTTCTGCCTCCATTTTTTCTGCCTATTCTTTTTTATAATTCTTAAACTATAAAAAGTAATATGAAAAAGCATGTAGTGAGAATATTTTTTATTTTAATTTAGTGTAATGTGTTGGAGATAAATCACTTTTTGATTAGATATTTACTGCATTTTAAATTTAAGTTTAAGATAAATTATTAGAGATGGTTTAATAATCTCTAATGAAAAAAGTATGCATGATTTTAATTATGTTATTATGCATTATCAGGGTAAATGTAATTCATTTACATGTTAAGGCAAATGCACTCATAGAATGCATTTTTGAAATCAAAGCGATATTCATCTATTAGATTGCAAAACTCTTTTGGCACAAATATGATGCACTCATATAATTTAGATACTTAATTTTTTGCAAACGAAGATTCATTTTAAATATTATATGATGCATTTGAGTGTGAGTTAGAAAAACATACATAAAGTAGATATTAAAATATTGAATTGCATATTTTATAGGTCTAAGTGTAAGATGGAAGTTTATTTCATTAAAAGAATAAATGGTTGCCTATTAGCTCAAATGGTAGAGCGGTATATACTACAAATGTGAGTTCGAATCTCACATAGGAAAATTATTTCTTGAATCTATATTATACCTTTTTTAAATACAACGCATTTACAGGATTTCTTATCGCATATAGAGTCACAAAATAATAGAACAAAATTGGAGTAAATTCTAAATAATAAATCACAGTGCATATAAAATCATCATAGTGCACTCGTGTTAGATATGTAATTGTGGATATCACAATGCATTTTTGGACATTAGAAATCTATTCATAAAATAGGACAGGAGGAGTGGCATTAATAGTGAAAGAAATAAGAATGTATATAAATACTCTGTAATAGAAAGATTATTCTGTTGCATTAAAAAATTATTCTATTGCTTAAAAAATATTGTTTCGTTCCTTTAAAAAAATCATTCAAAATTAAAAGCTTTTTCCTTTATTGGCGCAATAAATAGAGACGTGAATGGAAATTTTTTAGGCTTATTTGCTACTTTAATGCATCATTTTTTTACATTTTAGCCCCTAGATATTAACTTCCCCCTATTTTAGTGTGCATGTATGTGTTGCACCTTACCATAAACAACATGGATGTTAATAATCAAACTTTTCTAATCTTAGCTGTCCGATGTACTTGATCCAATGATCAACATCTATTCTCATTTCTTTCTCTAAGAGTCATTCTCACATGAACTGGCATATATATATATATATATATATATATATATATATATCTGTGTGTGTATGTGTGTATGTATATTATAAATGGAATATTGTAAAACTATGTTTAAAAATGAACTTATTGATAATAAATTTATATCACAATTCAATATATGTTTTCCGTATTTTGTAGTTAAAGTTTAAGAAACTGACGATAAGTTTAAACTGGGAAGATTCAAAAGGGACAGAAGGAGTAGTATCATATATGCTTATAAAATTATTAAAAAGGAAAGGAATCCTCTACATTGAAACATACTTCTATTGCATCTTTTTATTTCATATTTTAAGGTATATATATTTAATTCTCTTCATCTGGTGTCTTAGATTCTTCTTTGGGGGCCTTCATTTTCTAACTTGAGAAACAATAGTGTCAGTTTTAGTTCCACACGAACATCTCTTTAGTTTAATATTGCAATGATGGCAATCTGGGTCTACTCTACAATCATAGTCGCTTCTGCATGCAACATATGGAAAGAGTTTGTGCGCTCCTCCCTCAGTCGTATTGGGAATGCCTGGAAAAATTGGGCATTTACAATATGTACATTATTAGTCACAATATCTATTATTTTTAATTATTTTCATTTCTCTACCAGAATTTGTATTTCCATTTTCTATTTTTAATCTCATCAAAATGAATTAATTAAGGCCCTGTTTGAAAAGAGCATTTTCGATTAGTGTTAGCGATTTGGAAATTTTTTAATGGTGTAGATTAATTCTAAAAACGCTAACGCTAAAGGCTATCGTCAGATAACATTTTTAATACGCTAATGCTAATCTCTAACACTAATGCCAAACGGGACCTAAAACTAATAAGGGGTGTGTATCTTGACATCTTGTTATTTATGGAAAGGTGCGTGCTCATGGCTAGTGCTATCTTATAAGAGAAAACACATTGAAAGGAAAGAAATTGAGTGGGTTTTACTTTAGAAATTGCGGGACAGAGAGAGTATTAGACATTGATAAAAAATAATTTTATTAGATTCATTTAATAAAATATTTTCAAAATATTTTTTTTATTTAATTAATATACAATATGAATTTTATTTTACTGTATGTCAAAGTTTGAAAACGACTGACTGTAAATAGTTAAAACTATACAAATACTCAAAAATGGAAGTAGTATGTAGTTAAATAAATAATCAATTATTAATAGGAGAAAGACCAAACTAGGACTAAAAATTGAAAATATACCAAAATAAGACTTCCATGTTTTTATTCTCAAAATAGGACTTACATTACCAAACATGGTCATGTAAATTATCAAAAAAGTTTAACAATGTGCACACGCACAGAGCTACATTACCACATTACAAAATCCTATTACGAAAAACACATGAAATTTTTATTTTGATATTTTTTTTACTACGTATATTTTAGTTCTATTTAAAGTGATTTCTAATTATTAATGAATTAAATACACTGCACCAAGATGTCTTTTTCATAATTCTTACACTAACCCTAATTCATAACTCTATCATACCCTCCGTGTCCCGTGCAATTTGCCACCGACAGATTCAATGTTACTGTATTGTCAGATTTTAAAGACTCAATTATTCTAATGTAGAATTCCATGCAAGTTAATGTTGCAATATGAACCCATTTGAAATATGTGTTGGAGAAGACTCAATTATTATATTTGGACCATAATTATGATCTGAATAACAAAACTATTTTAAGTAATAATGTACATTAAAGGATGTAAGCTTTTAAATTATCAGGAGAGACTCACATATTGCAATGATCAAGAGAGTGAGAACACCATAAAAGGTTTTCGAAGCCATGGATTTAATATTTTTAGGGAGTATTATTCTTATATTTTATTTTCAGAGAGAGTGGCCCATTGAGAATCACGATTATTTTTGGCCTTATTTATAGGGTCTACAGGGAGGGTCACAAGTTCTTTCATAAAGGTGGAACATCCACTCCTGATGAAATTTCACAAATTCACAAATTTTGTCACAAATTCTTTCATTTCTCTAGGGCCGGTGAACAAAAATTTCAATATCATAGTTTCGATTTGAAATATCTCGGTCTCATTTATATAATGCTTAGTTTTGCTAGGAATGAAAAAAAATTCTGAATCATTTTGAAATGGAATGAGACTTGGACACAAATGTTTTCTCATTCCATTTCATTGTTTCGATCGTATGGGTATGTATATACTCCCTACGTTAGAAAATGTTTGCACTTTGCGCAAAAAGAAGCAAAATTTTAATTTTTTTGAATTTATTTTATTTAAAGATTGGTATATAAATAAAAATAAAACTTCTATATCTAAAATCTATGTCATAAGTTGTACTGGTGATCAATAATATTTTATTTTATCAAATAATCAATAAAATCATACAAATAAACAAAGATTATCATGAATATGGAATTATGCAGAGTGTAATTCTTTTTAGGATAGAGGAAGTGTCAATATATGTACGAAGGGGTCCCCATATACGTATTCATATAAATGGGAGTACTATTTTAAGAATAAGGATTAGTGGCATGCAAACTAAGAAACTAAAAATTCTATTATGATATTGATGTTAAAAATGTAAGAAAAAATAATAAGTGTGAATTATAAAATATTACGTACAAGTATTATACCCTGTACCATATATAATGGGTTGAAACAAAAATATTGTGATATAAAAAATAAAAGGACAAAAATTGAAATAAATGTAATACTCCATCCGTCCCATAAAGTATTACTCATTTTGACTAAAGTTGAAATTAAGGGAGAGATAATTTTGTATTGACTTTCCAAAAATACCCTTGATGTGATGGGTAAAAGTAGGATGTGATGTGTAGATTATTAGGAAAAAGGTATGATGTGATAGGTAGGGTTTGAAAAAGTAAGGGGTAAAAGTGGTTTTTTAATAGAAATGGGTAAGGGATTGTGGGACACATTTTTTTTTGAAACGTGTAAATCTTTTTGGGACGGAGAAGTATAAATTATACTCCCTCCGTTTTTTAAAAGTGTTCCTATTTTGACTTTGTGTAAAAATAAGGAAGTGTTAAATTGTAGTTGACTTCCAATTTTGCCCTTGATGTGATGGGTAAAAGTAAGATGTGATGGATTGAGTATTAGAGAAAAAGTATGATGTGATAGGTAGGATATGAAAAAGTAAAGGTAAAAGTGGTTTTTTAATAGAAAGTAGAAGTGTTTTGTTGGAAGTAAAAAAATGAAAGAGGAAGAGTTTTTAAGAATGGAAGGAGTAATAAAAATATGATATTTCAAAAAATATGCTAAAAATAATTTTTAAAACATCCATTGTTTTCAAAATTTTCTAACTCATTTCGAATTTTTTCCTGCTTATTTCAACTCTTTCTAATTCTTTTTAACCTTCAAACTCTATTTTCGAACCCAAAATAAACATACAAGTTCTTACTAGCTGGACTCCCATTTGTTTGTAACAGAATTGGAAGCAAAGACTTGCCAACTTGGTAGTAATCATCATGCACACAACATGATTTGTTTACAATGCGTGAGTGAGGCCTACACATGTCTTGCGTGAATGACGAATAACACGCGTGGGGTTGGCCGGTTGGGAATGTTGCATATATTCCTTTCTCCCAAAAACTCATTCTTCCTTTTTTGTTTTACAAAGTCGTTTCTGTTTTAATTTTAATATTATTTTTACCCATTTAACTTATTATCTACATATTTCATCATACTTTTTACTAATAATATATATATATATATATATATATATATATCTATATATATATATATATATATATATATATATATATATATATATATATATATATATATATATATATATATATATATATATATATATATATATATATATATATATATATATATATATATATATATATATATATATATATATATATATATATATATATATATATATATATATATATATATATATATATATACTCATCACATTTTACTTGTACCTATCATATCAAGAATATTTTTAGAAAGTCAATACAAAAATATCTCTCTCTTAAATTTAATAAAAGTAAAAACGGAAACTGAGACAGAGGAAGTATATGATAGAAGGTTGATTGCACATGAGTACCGGATGTATAGTATTTCCCGTACATCCGCATGAATACTTATTGTGAGTAACTAAGTACTCTATTTTGAGCAACAGAATACACATTTTCGAGTAACTGAATACTCATTTTTTAGCATAACATATTTTTAGAAAAATGAGTATTCAGTTACTCAAAAATGAGTATTCACTAGCTCGAAAATGAATATTCAGTTACTCGTGAAAGAGCACTCGCCGTGGATATACGGAAAACACTATTCAACCGATTGTAAGGTATATATTGTGATTGCACATAGAATCATTCTAAAAAAATCCCACCTTTCAATATTACGTGTAATAATATAATCCCACCTTTTTACTTGTATATATGTGCGTGTTGAGTCACAATTAGGTAGCTAACGGTTGTGTAACAATTTGTTTTAAAGAGTATTTTGCACAACAAAATGAAAGATGAAGTTATTTGATGGGAATTCAATTTTATTTTATTTTTAAATTTTAAAACATAAAATAATGTTTATAAAAATTTAATAGTACGCTCTTGTAAAATATTTGTGTCTGTTTTAAAAATATAACGGTTCACAACTTTGTAGCGTCATTTTCGGGAAAAAATTAATGCAAAAAGGAAAAAACCATTTGTTGTGCGATTTCAGGAAAAAATTGCACCGAGTAACGCTATTCTGAAAAAAGCCAAGTATATGAAATAATCCCACCCTAGAAAAAATTTTTGTGACTAGAGTGTACTATTATCTACTCCCTCCGTTCCAAAAAGATTGTCACACTTATTTTCGTGTCTTCATTAATTATTTGATAAAATAAAATATTTTTGTCATCTCTTGTTTTGTAGAACTTTTGACGTAGATTTTAAATATGTAAGTTTTATTTTTTATTTCTATACCAATATTTAACTAAAATAAATTAAAAAATCAAAAATTTACTTCGTTTAACGTAATGTTGCAATATTTTTGAGATGGATGGAGTATTTTAAATCTAAAAAGTAATTTAAAAAATGATTGGATTATTAGAAAAGTAATTTCTAGTGCCCCACTCTAGAAAACCATATGTGAAAAATTTATTTAGTACAAAAATTTACAATGATTATCAAAAAAATAAGTCATAGTGTCGCTTTTAAAAAAAATTTATAATAGTATGGAAAACGGATACTGAACTGTCAAAAACATTAGCTCCAATTTTGAAGAAAAAAAACCTCCATAATTGTATCAAAAAATTTCATGAAACCACATTTAAAAATTAAAAGTGGTTGAATTCGCGCTCCAATATTTTTACATTCCGAGAAATAATTAGATGGACGAGTAGGGTTTCCCAGTTATAGGTCGTACATTTTACATATTTAGTGCCTACATATCAAAAAATTACTTATTTAGTCCCCAATTATTATATATTCATTTTCTCGAATGGTCCTTTGTTAATATTTCATTAAGAACGTGGATAAAATTATAAATTCATACTCATTTCTCTCCTCGATCAATTAACCTCCCCCCCCCCGCACTCCTTTCCAAACTCGTCGCTGAGTTTGAAACTTTGAACCCAAAACCGAAATCATCACTCTTCTTTTAATTGTTTGTCTAACTGGTGGAACCCAAATTCGAAACCAGTAACCTTTATGGATGAGATTTAATGTTTATTTTCTTTGTAATTTCTTTAGACTAACCGATAAAACTCATCCATAACGCTTATTGATTTTGATTTTAGGTTCCACCAGGAAGAATAATAATTGAGAGAGGAATGATCATTTCAGTATTGGGTTTAGAGCTTCAAACTTAACGACAAGTTTGGAAAAGAGTACGAGAGTAGAGAGGAAACTTAATTGAGGAGAGAGAAGTATGAATATACAATTTTATTCATCTTCTTAACAAAAACGTTAACAAAGGACCATTCGTGAAAAATGATACTCCCTCCGTCCACCTAAAATCTTCCAATTGCACGTTACGAGCAATTGCACGTTACGAGGCTTGACTGACTTTGTTTTCAATTCTATTTATTTGAATAATTCCACCTTTATTTGCCGTTAGGTCCTTAACGGCTATCCAAAATGCGGACATAAGTGAAAAAAATGAGATTATTAAGCGTATTATTGAAATAAGGGTAAGATTATTTCAAGAAGAATGCGTATAGATATGATTATTTTTGATAGTTTTCCCTCTTTAGAAAAGGACATGTGGCACGAGAGATAAATTGGTTGTTTTTCCAATGCTTATAATTTTTCAATTATTTATAAATTATTTTTAAATTATAAGTCAGTTGATGATACTCCTTCCGTCCCTGAGTATCTGTCTATTTTTGAGTTGTTTTAGTCAAAATTGGTAAACTTTGACCTCAAATTAAATAAAAATGACATTATATATTGATACAAAAATAGTTGTATTATTAGATTTATTATATGAAATATTTTTAAAATATTTTTTATCAAATTAATATACAATATATATTTTATATAATTATAGGTTAAAGGTTAAAAATGATTGTCTGAGAAAAAGTCAAAACTGGACAAATACTCATGGATGGAGGTAGTATGTTCCTTTGTGCGCATGAATCAAAAAATAAGTAGGTCTTACGTACAAACTTATTTTTAAAACATTTTTATCTCTTGGTTTTGACCAAATTCAATCTCAAAATTATAACTAACGTTTATGAATATTCCTAACTGATTCATCTCTCATTTTATCAAGGTTGATGGATATCTGGCCCAACGAGATATAGAACCGGCCCAACAAGCTATTACTTTAATCCGCCTGGAATTTGTGTAGAGTGGTTCGAAAGGGGGAGATCGTTTAAGCGATTGGGCTTGGACCATAAATTAGCTGGCAAGAATCGGCCATTCTCACGGATTGTGGGTGATTGATGACCAAAACTTTACCCTTATGTGACCTCTAATTTATTCCACATCTCATTGGCCATCGTGCCCCTTGATATTTTCCGATAACCATTCGGATTCATGGCACAATACAAGAAGTTGATGGCTCTTGCATTTAGTTGCACTTTCTTCTTGTCATTTGAGGTATATTCAGTTTCTAACTTTGAAACAAGAACCCCGTCAACCATCTTTGTGGGAACTATTTCTCCATGCTTCATCACCAACCAAGAATCAAAATCATTTGATTGGATGACTGATGCAGGAGAGGATCTAGACTGACATGAACTTCTTGTTAAAGCCTTCATTTTTCAGTTTCTGTGTCTTTGGGCCTTTGGCCTATCTTTTAGTTAGCCCATTTATTTTTATTCTTAGGCCCGTTTTGTCTTCCATCTTTTAGGGTTTAACTTCCTTCGTTTTTCAGCTATTTATAGCCCGGCTTGTGGGCATATTTGGGGCAGACTATCATTATTTGAGAATATTTCATATACCTAGAGCGGAACTCTTCCCCTAGCGTTTCAATCATTCCCTTTCTTTCGTTGTTCTTCTCGTTCTAGCCCTACGCCTTGATTTAATTCGGCGTCAGTTGGTATCAGAGCTCAGTTCGACGAATAAAGGAAGATCATCCTTCGACATCAATGGTGCGTGCACGAGGTCGCGGCCGTGGGCAACCAATGGGTAACGAACCCCCCGACGAGAGCAGCACCTTGACGACGTGGAGGTGATAACAGATCTATAGCGGCAGAACAAGGTTATGCGGTAGCAGATCGCGGAACTCACACGGCGCCTTGCGGTGCGAGATTTGGAGGATCATGAGGAGTCAGATCACGGCTCCCGATCATCGTTCGAGAACCCGTATCATCGCGAACCTCGCGGTCGTGATTTTCGCGTCCGTGATGACTATCGCGGAAGGCTAGGGTTTAAGGTGGAAATCCCTAGTTTTTCAGGAACCCTACAGGCTGATGATTTCATTGACTGGCTGAACGAGGTGGATCGGATCTTTGAGTATAAGGACGTTCCTGAACGTGACAAAGTGAAGCTCGTGGCAATCAAACTCCATGGACGAGCCTCTGCATGGTGGGAACAGATGCGGCGATCTCGTGAGAAGAAGGGCAAGCCAAAGATCAATGATTGGGAGAAGATGAAGGGTAAGATGAGGGCACACTTTCTTCCCTTCGGATACACACAAACCCTATTTCAACGACTCCTTACGTTGAGGCAGGGAACAAGGTCTGTTGATGATTACACTGAAGAATTCTACCAGTTGATTGCTCGCAACGATCTGTCTGAATCGGAGGAGCAGCTTGTGGCCCGATATATGGCAGGCTTGCGTCAGTCGTTGCAGGATGTTCTCAACCTCCATTCATTATGGACTGTTTCTGAGGCATAAAAAAGGACCCTTGCAGTTGAGAAGCAGCAGAAAAGGAAGCCGGTGACCAACAACCGTCCGGCTCGACCCCAAGAGCCTCGACTGACCACACAGGGAGTCCAAGGGACGCAGGGAGCTTCGAGTAGTACGATTAAGTGCTATCTTTGTGGTGAACCTAGACATAGGGCGAATGAATGCAAGAAACCCGCTCTACAGAAGAGCCAGAGCCTGTTCGTGGAGGAGAACATCGTTGTTGACGATGATGAAGTTGAAGAGTTTGGAGGTCCAGTCTATGATGATTATGCAGAAGATGATGTTCTTTACGGGGATGGTCGAGAGAATTTGGTTGTGCGCAAGAGTCTTCTGGCCCCAAAGGATGATTCTAAAGATGATTGGTTGAGGACAAACATCTTCCACACAACCTGCACCATTGGAGGAAAAGTTTGCAAGATGATCGTGGATGGTGGTAGTTGCGACAACATTGTCTCTGACGAAGCTGTCTGGAAATTGCAGTTGAAGACAGAACTCCACCCCAAACCCTATAAGTTGTCTTGGCTACACAAGGGTTCCGAGGTGACAGTTGACAAGAGATGCCTTGTTTCCTTCTCAATTGGGAATAAGTATCATGATAGTCACTGGTGTGATGTTGTGAAGATGGATGCATGTCATATTCTTTTGGGAAGACCTTGGCAGTATGATCGAAGCGTTGTACATGATGGACGAAAGAATACCTATTCTTTTGTCATGAAAGGCAAGAGGATAATATTAGCACCACGTCGAGAGGACCCCCCCCTCCACCCTCAACAGAAGGCCCTACTAATCTGCTATCTAGGTCCAAGTTCCTAAAGGAGGTTGAGCATGAAAAGGTGGTTTATGCATTGCTGCCTTGTGATGACCAAGCAGGTGATGAAGATAATGACTTACCTGTGGAGGTGCAGCAACTTCTAGATGAGTTCTCACACTTGATGCCTGATGAGCTACCTCCTGTTTACCACCATTGAGGGACATCCAACATCAAATTGATTTAGTCCCAGGCTCTAACCTCCGAAATGTACCAGCATATCGTCTCAGTCCCAAAGAGGTAGAAGAATTGCAGTGACAAGTTGTAGAGTTGCTTGAAAGAGGCTATGTCAGGGAGAGCATGAGTCCATGTGCAGTTCCAACCTTGTTGGTGCCGAAGAAAGATGGTTCTTGGCGCATGTGTGTGGACAGCAAGGCCATCAACCGCATCACGGTGAAGTATAAATTTCCTATCCCCCGACTTGATGACATGCTAGATAAACTTTCCGGCTCTAAGATCTTTTCCAAAATTGATCTTAAGAGTGGGTACCATCAGATTCGAATCAAGCCTAGCGACGAATGGAAGACCACGTTTAAGACGCAGCATGGGTTGTACGAGTGGATGGTGATGCCGTTTGGTATGTCCAACGCACCTAGTACGTTCATGCGGTTCATGCACCAGGGTTTGAGACCTTTTATGGGAAAGTTTGTTGTTTTTTACTTTGATGACATCCTTATCTATAGTCCATCTTGGGCTGCCCACTTTGAACATTTGCGTGCTGTTTTTGGGGTGCTAAAAGCGGAGACTTTATTCATCAATAGAAAGAAGTGTTTCTTCTTTACTACCTCCGTTCAGTTCTTGGGGTTTGTGGTTTCTGTTGATGGTGTGATGGTGTGCATGCAGATCCCTCGAAGATTGAGGCCATTGTGCAGTGGCCTAGACCCAGAACATTGCATGACGTTCGTAGATTTCATGGTCTGGCCTCTTTTTATCGCAGATTCATTAGGAACTTCAGCACTTTGATCGCGCCCATTACTGAGTGTCTCAAGGGACGTGACCTCCAGTGGACAGATGCCGCGGAGTTCAGCTTTGAGAAGGTGAAACAGAAGATGACGGAGGCTCCAGTATTAGCCCTCCCTGATTTTGACAAAGTTTTTGAGGTCAACTGTGATGCGTCTGGTGTTGGCATTGGAGGTGTGCTTAATCAGGCTGGACGTCCAGTTGCCTTCTTCAGTGAAAAACTTTCTGGTTCCCAGAAGAACTACTCGACCTATGACCTCGAGTTCTACGCCATTGTTCAGTCACTCAAACATTGGCGTCATTATTTAATCCAAAAGGAGTTCATTCTTTTCACTGATCACGAGGCTTTGAAGTATATTAATGGGCAGCACAAACTCAATAGGCGTCATGCCAAGTGGGTGGCGTACTTACAGGAGTTCACCTTTGTTCTCAAACACCAATCAGGTAGTGTCAACCGCGTCGCTGATGCCTTGAGTCGACACAATAATCTTCGCTCCACCATGAGCAGTAGAGTGACGGGATTTGAAGTGTTTGCGGACATGTACGAAGCTGATCCCTCATTCGGGACGATCTTCTTGGAGGTGACTTCAGGACACCGCCATGATTTTTTGGTGCATGATGGCTATCTTTTCCGAGGTCGGCAATTGTGCGTCCCAGATTGTTCCTTACGACAGCAGATTATCAGTGAACTCCACAACGAAGGACATTTTGGTCGAGACAAGACTCTCGCTCTTGTGTCTGCTGATTTTTACTGGCCAAAGTTGAGAAGTGACGTAACCCATTTTGTGGATCGTTTCTATGTGTGCCAGCGATCTAAGGGAGCTCTCACAAATGCAAGCCTTTATACCCCATTGCCTGTTCCAGAAGCTCCTTGGCTTGATGTTAGCATGGATTTTGTACTTGGCTTACCCCGCACCCAAAGGCCGGCAGACTCCATCTTTGTTGTTGTTGACAGGTTTTCCAAGATGGCACACTTTATTCCGTGCAAGAAAACCATGGATGCTGTGCGGATTGCTCACCTATATTTCAGGGAGATTGTGAGGTTGCATGGCCTTCCTCGCTCTATCACCTCAGATCGTGATACAAAATTCATGAGCCAGTTCTGGAAGAGTTTATGGGAGAAGCTCGGCACCAATATGAACTTTAGCAGTGCATATCATCCTCAGACTGATGGCCAGACCGAGTTGGTGAACCGTAGCTTGGGAAATCTTCTACGTTGTTTGGCAGGATCTAAGCCGAAACAATGGGATTTGGTGCTTCCCCAAGCAGAGTTTGCCTATAACAGATCAATAAACAGGACCACTGGATTAAGCCCATTTCAGATTGTCTTGGGTCAGAACCCATCAGGGGTGCTGGACTTGGCCCCAATTCTACGAGTGGGTCGCAATCATCCTAGATCCGAAGAGATGACAGAGAACCTGAGGAGCGTACATGATCAGGTGAGATGTAAGATTGAAGAAAGCAACAACAAGTACAAGGCACGAGTGGACAAACATCGACGTCAAGTTGTGTTTGATGTTGGAGACTTTGTTTGGGCTGTGTTGACCAAAGATCGATTCCCTGTTGGCGAGTATGATAAACTCAAGGATCAGAAAATTGGACCCTGCGAGATAGTTCAGAAGATCAATGATAATGCTTATCGATTGCAGCTTCCCAGTCACTTGAAAACTTCTGATGTTTTCAATGTGAAGCACCTAACTCCTTGTTTTTTCAAACCTAAGGAAGATGTTGTGAACTCGAGGGCGAGTTCTTTCCAACCCGGGGAGACTGATCCAGGAGAGGATCCAGACTGACATGAACTTCTTGTTAAAGCCTTCATTTTTCAGTTTCTGTGTCTTTGGGCCTTTGGCCTATCTTTTAGTTAGCCCATTTATTTTTATTCTTAGGCCCGTTTTGTCTTCCATCTTTTAGGGTTTCACTTCCTTTGTTTTTCAGCTATTTATAGCCCGGCTTGTGGGCATATTTGGGGCAGACTATCATTATTTGAGAATATTTCATATACATAGAGCGGAACTCTTCCCCTAGCGTTTCAATCATTCCCTTTCTTTTGTTGTTCTTCTCGTTCTAGCCCTACGCATTGATTTAATTCGGCGTCAATGACTCATTCTCTCTTTCCAATAAGCATAATTGGTGCCATCGAAGAGTGGTGGACTTGTTGTGGATTGTCCTTCGACAATTACTTGATATCTTGATTTCACAAGCCTCTTATCCTACCACCGAAGCCTTGATTTCACAAGACTCAGGATTGCTTCCACCTAACGTTTGATTTCACAAACCATTAGAATTTGTACCACTTGGTTTAATCCCAACACAAAGAATACAAACCCCTTACAAAGAGTAAGGAAAAAAAACCACAGCAGAATAATTCTCGCAAAATGAAGTAGATTGCTTTAAATATAGTGAAGTCATATAGAATATGGTAAAGCCTCTCAAAGACTCAAGCAATGAGGATAAACTCAGACAAGAAAGGATTTAGCAATCAAAACAATTGCCTTGCTTGGATATTAGAAGGGGATTGAGTAAAATCTCTTTGGATATTCAAAGTGTTCTTGGTATTTTTTTAGTGATAATAATGAGACAAGGGACCAAAAACTATTTGTATAGTTCAGAACAAACTTGAAGCAAGAAAAAATAGCAATTTAGTCGTTTAAATTTCATTTTAGTCGAATAAATTAGCAGGTTCAATTCCACCCAACTCAGAAGTTATAGATTTATTCGAATAAACCAAAGGGTATTCGAATAGAAGAGCAACTTCTTCATACAAAGGCTGGTCTAAAAGGTATCTTAAAGGCAGGATTATCAATGAATAAGCCTTAGAGATTTCATACTCTTTAACACACATTCTAAGACCTAAAAGACTACCCTACAAAGGAAACAACATTTTCGATCTTGATCCTTCCACTAATGCTCAAGTCTCTGATTCATGGATGGATATGAACTTGTTGTAGCTTTGATTCTTAGCCTTAATGCACAATATGATGGTAATCTTTTATCACCCTTTTGTCATTATCAAAACTTAAAAGACAATGGGCAAAGGATATTGCAAATATATACATTCATCATATCACATTGTCCAACATAGCAAACAACAAAAAACTGAGCACTTTTTGGATCGTGTCCACAAATAGTTTCATTTGAAACTAGGGAAAGAAAACAGCTGTATGGTAAACATGCCGATAAGTAAGTGGTGCGACTTGAAGAAAAAAGTTAACAAGTTTGTCGGACACTTCACCTACCACACAAACAATAGAAAAGTGGGTGGGGTCAACAAGATATCATCAACGTTGTGCATCAAGACTACAAGCACATTGAGGGACATGCTTTTGGTAATATCAAGGCATGGAAGATTATGTGTCAGTCGATGCACTGGCAAGAAACGGCACCCTTTTTTACTGTCTAAGCGGTCAAAGACTTCATCGTCCAACGACCCTTTCGCCGAAAGTCAATGATCGGACGCCACTCCTACGTCAACCTCAACAAAGAGGAAGAGGACAATCAAAGGTGAAGAAGAGAGGCAAAGAGAAAGTTGCTTCAGGTTCCAAGGATGGTGGCGATTTTATATTACAAGAGAAGTTGCAGTCCTTTTCCACTCAAATGACTGAATTTCCGGAGGTGAAAAGAGCTTCCATCGAATTAAAAAACAATTCGTGAAATGGTGACCGACATGGCATTCCTGAGCAAGAAGTATGGCGGTGTGGACGAACGTGATCTTGCCTTGATCGAGATGGTAAAGGAAAAAATAAAAAAAATATGAGGCCAGACATGATCGTGATCATGCCTAGATTTTTTATATTTCATATGTTTTTATTTGAGTAAATTCCATAATTGGTCTTTTATAACATAGGGGTTTCCATATCTAGTCCTTTATAATCAAATATTACCCCCGTAGTCCTTTTTTTAAGGGTACCTTTCCACAAATGGTCCTTTTTTGATCTTCTGCTGTGTTGGTGTTAATTTAAAGGCTAAAAGTATAATTTGACATCAACATTATGTCTAGTGACGTGTTCTGATATTGGTTAAGCAGATACCACAAAAATAATGACTATGATTGTGGGCTAGGATTCTGATGAAAGATCACATTTGTAGACTATCGTTGTCGTAAAAAGCGACTGTAATTCACAAACGACGCAAACGGAACAACCTTTGGAATTGTGTATGACAAAAAAGATATATTATCATTGTGAAATTACACTTTTAGCCCTCAAATTAACACCAACATGATAAAAGATAAAAAAAGGACTATTTGTGGAAAGGTACCCATAAAAGAAGGACCACTGGGATAATATTTGATAATAGAGGACTAAATAGGGAAACTCCCCTGATATAAAGGACCAATTATAGAATTTACTCTTTTTATTTCTACCAAGTTTTTTTCATGTGTTTTTCCCTTAATTTAAGTAATGCATGTGTGTACTTTTAGTTTATTCATGTAATATATGCATTTTTAATTAATTATCTTTTTTTGTGCAATATTTTGTTATAAGATAATAAAAAGGAAAAAGAATTAATAACGAAATAAATTTCTATTATTTTGTATCATTTATTTATAAATGATATAATTCAATTTGAACATAAGAAAGTAGTTTTTTATAAAAAAAAATTGTAATCATTGCAATAGTGGTGAGACATTACAGTTGTGAAGTGAATAAATGGCACAATATATACTGTACAACCGGTTATACAATGTCTTCCATACATTCGCAACGAGTGCTCATTTACGAGTAATTGAATACTCATTTTTCGAACAAGTGAATATTCATTATCGAATAACTGAGTATTCATTTATCTAAAAATTCAGCTATAATCGAAAATGAGAATCAAGTTGTGCTCAAAACTAATAATTCAGTTACTCGAAAATGAATATTTTGAGTACTCATTTTTTTAAATTCCAATTATGCTCAAAAATAAGAATTCAGATAATCTCAAAAATAATAATTCAGTTACTCGAAAATAAATACTCCGTAATATGCAATGTAATGATTACTCTATTAGACTTGGTCTAATTTAACCAGTAGAAGAGAGTATAATGTGTAAATATATCTTCCAACAATTCAACAAGTTCAACCAAATTAGTCACAATCAAAACCAATGGCAGTCACTGCGACATATTTGGCCAAATTATCCTTACATAACGACATATGGGGATATTTTGGTCGGCTAATACTTTTGTTCGACCATGTCAAGTGTATAATATAGTAGAACCACCCCACTAGAAACTACTATATTGTCACCTTAATTCGCAACCATACCATACAAATTTGGGAATCGCATTCACAGTGGGGCCATTGCCTTAATCTTTAGTTACTAAAGGTCCACCTTACAAGTAGAACTGGGCTAAAGAAATCTCACTAGACTTGATAAAGGGGCATTGCCTTTTGATATCTACCAATGGGAGACAGTTTACGAGAGAGATGTCGGTGAAAGGGGATCATAATCATAGGTTTGCTGCTTTCCAAAAGTGCCAGAAGCTGGGGGATTACCTGGCCGAAAATCACTGGTTGGAGGTTGAAGATTTGGTGGACGAGCCACCATTGCTGGATTATTATGCTGAAACATCATATTTCCTGATCGTGGAGGAAAAGGACTACCAGGATTCACCATAGGAGGAGGAACTGCTGGACTGAAGTTATGAATAGCGGGTCTAAAAACTCCAGAAGCTGGAGATGGACCACCTGAATTCGGAAACACGGTTGGCCTTATAGGTTGAGGTGGAGGGCCAGTAAGGCCTCCGGAAAAGCTGGCAGGCGTGGGTTGCCATTGAATCATCCGGTTGTTTGCCTGCATTTCAGGGAAGCCTTGAATCGCATTTAAGGAATTTGATGAGTTACGTATTTCCGGTCTAACAATGGATGGAGACTGAGGTGCTGCATGAACTGAATGAATTGGTTGGTTTTTTACGAAATTACTCGGAGGATCAAAATTACAATTAGCAGGCCTTGCAAATGCTCGGGAGGGAGCCGGAGGATTTATTTGGTGAGGCTGGAATACAAAATCTCTAGAACCAGGTTGCTGATGTGGCATTGAAGCACCAACAGAAAGGGAATTAATGGCATCAATGTTCAATGCCCTTCCACTAACAGAGTTGCTAGGGGGTATGGGTTGAGGTGGAAATGCTGAGTTAGGATTCCCAGATCGTACATGCTGCATTTGAGGTTGTTGTAAAACAGAATTAGGGGGGTGATGGTTATGAGCAGATCCGGACAGATCGCCACGTGGAAAGGCAACAGATGGTGGTGCCATGGAGACCACTGGATGACTACTACCCCGTGGGACAGCTAGAGGTCGGTTTGTTAGCATTGCATTCGTCATACCTTGAACCACTGAAGAGTTCCATGCTGACCATCCAGTACCAAAGGGTGGTAGTTGGTTATGAATAGCAGGTCTAAACACTTGGATGCCGTGAGGAGCTGTAGGGCCCAAAGGAGCAGTCAGAGGATTTTTAGGAGCACCGAGAGGAGCAAGGTTTGGCTGCTGTGAAACTAGAGTAACATTAGGTCTCATAAATGTGAGCGAATGACTTTGAGGAACAGAACCAAATCTGGCCACCATGCCCCGTTGGTCAATGAGTGAGGGTGTAGTACTGCAAGCATTTGACAGTGAACTTTCTGTAGAGGGCATTGAACTCTGAGATGGAAATCCAGGAAACCAAGGGCTCTGTTGGAAATGACTGTGTGAGGGATCATGACCAGACCCCTCCATGATTGGTTGTTGAACCACTCCTGGGTTATCAGTGGTAGCTGTGATGCCATTATTACTAGAAATTGTCATAGATTCAGAGGTTGTCTTCACCTGAAAGGAGAACAGGGCATTTTATTAATTACAGTGACACAACAAAAACTACAGGGATTCATTCAACTACATCAACTGAGATAATGGCTAGTTGACTCACAGAAACTGGGGTGACCA